TTCACTCTCGTTTTGACTTTGCCTATGCTGTTCAGCTCCACTGAGGAAGCTTCCCTCAGAAAGCAGTGACCTTTTCAGTACATCAGGAGAAATCAGAACAAATAGCAGTGTGCTTTCCACAGCCTCGCTGCCTCTACTGAGATTTCTCCCCTTCAGAGCCCTGAAATTGAGCACAGATGCATTATCATTCCTGCTAGGCTGAATGCAGAGAGAAATGTAAAAAATAAAATAATTAAACATTTTACATTACTTGAGAAAATTCCATCCTTGGCCATCAGGACCTCACTAGTTAAGAAGTATCTTTACAGCTTTCTTGAACGATTGGTCTAGTATGCTATTTGCATTCTGATATTTGGATCTATGACAAAATTTTCCTGGCCGCGCACTGGTATTAATAATTTTTTTAAGTTTAAGTAATAGTAGTGGGGCGCCTGGGTGGCTCAGTCGGTTAAGCATCTGCCTTTGGCTCAGGTCATGATCTCAGGGTCCTGGGATTGAGCCCCATGTTGGGCTCTCTGCTCAGGGGGAAGTCTGCTTCTTCCTCTCACTCTCTGTCTGTGCTCTCTCTCTCTCTCAAATAAATAAATAAAATCTTAAAAATATAAAGTCTAAGGAATAGTTGGTAGTTGAATACTTACTACAAAAAAATTAAATATAATTAATGACGTGGGGGGTTAGTTTTTCTGTAAGAGAATCATTTTTATTGACTAGAAATACAATTTATATACTACTTAAATATGAATAAAATCAGAACATATTTATTCAGATATAGATTTTTAAATGGCATTAGCTGGATTTTCATCCTGACAGAAAGGACTCACTCATTCAAGAAATACTTCTGTAGCATCTTCTGTGTGCTAGGCACTTTCCAAGATACTGGACACATAGATTATTCCCTCAAGGAGCTCATGTTTGCCCTGAGAACGTTATTTATGACACTAGTCAGGTGGAGGGGTCTTCGATAATACCTCTAGTTCTCTGAACACAACTGTGGCAAGAAGATTCATACAGAGCATTGTCATGGTTCCCTGGCTGACTTTAATAGTTAAAATCATTTACCTAAAATGTTTCACAAAATAGAGTGTTTTCTACCTTAAACTTATTTCCATTGTGCCATGAAAATGCCTTTCCAACATGAAGATGGAGAGGAGTAGGAAAAGGGAGATGGGAAAAGAATGAATGATGAGTATTTGTGAAGACCCACGTATGATGCTAAGGTCTTACGTGTGTTATCTCAATCAGTACAACACAGCTATGCAGGAAAACACTGTTATTACCCCCATGTTATGCATGACAAAACCGAGTCTTAGACTGGGTAAGTACTTTCTCCCAAGATCACATACCATAGAAATGATCTTGGGTATCACATTGATACCAACTACAACCTGATTTCCCAAATAGGCAGCCATATTTATGTGTCCCCAACAACTTATGCAACTAAGTTCTCCCATTTACTGGAAAGTGACTGTGTGCTAAACACTGTACTCCTTTATAAGCTCTGTCTAACTAGGGCCTCATAGCAAACCCCGAAAGTCAAGGAGTATTAGCTCTGTTTTAGAGATGAAGAAATTAAGGCTCAGGAAGCTTAGGCGACTTGCCTAAAGTCACCCTGTCTAGCGAGTCAGGCCACTGTGCTAGTCTTGCTAACATAAGGTACCATCAGAACATTTCATGGATATACTCCCAAACTAATAACACAGATTCATCAACCACGGTTGGCATCGTCGACAGCTGGCTGAAAGTCCTGGGAATGGAGACCCATGATCTTTGAAATGCCTGAAGTGCAACTAGGACACTCTCCATTCTGCTTGATTGGGCCAGGGGAAAAAATGGTCCTATCCCAGAATTAAGAAACCTAGCTGAATGGGTAGAGACCAGCACGTTGCAAGAACAACCGGCCGAGGGAGAGGGGAGGGCATGGTCACAGGTGTTGGTAAAGGTGAGCCTGATTGATTTGGCAGGTGGAAGAATGATTGAGAGTGGGACTGAAACCAAGAGCACTGGGTAGGAGGGGCTGGTGATCAGGCCCGAGGACCAGCTGGAGGAGAATCTCTACCTGCCTTCAGAGGCACCACCCGCAGAGGCACAGTGACTGCCATGGCTGAGACAAGCATGGCATTGTCTTCTGCATGGGTGGTGACTGCCTACCTGGAACCTTAGTGTGCCCCTCACTTTGGAGCTCTGTGACTGATGGGGGGCTGAGGACTTAGCCAGGGGGCTTCGTCATGGGCGAAAGGCTGAATGCAAGTGTTTGTTTTTGCCCCATGGCCTCTTCCAGGTCCCTGTTCTCCCAGTTCTGCCTCCCTGGGGTCCAGGACAGATGAACTGACACCTGAGCTCTTCTCTAGAACATAACCATCTAGGTCACACTCCTCTGGAAGACAGATGAGCCTGATAGTGCAGAGACTGAGGAGATAATGGAGTTTTCTGGAGGAAAGCATTCAGATTAAACCGCAGTGATGCCCTCCAAGAGGCCACCTGTTCCTATGCACATCATTAGCTACAGGACAAGGGGACTTTGAGGAAAGGACAAGCAGCCTCTTCATTCTTATTCTGTTCTCTCCGGTCTAGACCCAGAGTTTCCAGTTCTCTGAAGCAGGACCAATTACATGGAAATCTGAGGGAGCTTAATAATGCGAAACGTTAGCATCTTACCCCGGGTGTTCCTGCCCATTTGACAAGCCCTCCTTTTCAAATTCTTGTTTCATCGTGTAGCCTAGTGATTCAGCAGCTTTGGAGGTCAAGTGAGTTCGCTACAGCTCCACATTCTGGGCACCACTAGCTAGACGCACTCTGCATGGCTCAGAGGGCCTGAGCACCCTGCAGCCTCTCACAGACCTTCGGGTTAGACCTGCCAACCACTCGGTGGAATGTGCTCCAGCTGCAGGAAGGGAGGGAGGGGAGAGGAGAGGGGCCAGAAAGACACTGTGGATGAGAGGAAGTAGATACCCCTAAAGCTGGGTTTGGGTCAGCCTCCTGACATAGCAGCAATTTTTTTTCTGTTTTATTTTATTTTTTTTAATTTTATTATGTTAATCACCATAGATTACATCATTAGTTTTGATGCAGTGTTCCATGATTCATTGTTTGTGTATAACACCCAGTGCTCCATTCAGTACGTGCCCTTTTTAATGCCCATCACCAGGCTAACCCATCCCCCCACCCCTCTCCCCTCTAAAAACCCTCAGTTTGTTTCTCAGAGTCCATAGTCTCTCAGATTTTCCCTTCCTTTCCTACTATCTTCTTTTTTTTTAACATATAATGTATTATTTGTTTCAGGGGTACAGGTCTGTGATTCAACAGTCTTATACAATTCACAGTGCTCACCATAGCACATACCCTCCCCAATGTCTATCACCCAGCCACCTCATCCCTCCCACACCCACCACTCCAGCAACCCTCACTTTGTTTTCTGAGATTAAGAATTCCTCATATCAGTGAGATCATATGATACATGTCTTTCTCTGATTGACTTATTTCGCTCAGCATAATACCCTCTAGTTCCATCCACGTCATTGCAAATGGCAAGATTTTGGGGTTTTTTTGATGGCTGCATAATATTCCATTGTATATATATATACCACATCTTCTTTACCCATTCATAGCAGCAATTTTTTATGACAAATATTTGGCAAGAATAATCTGAAGTCTTCAAAAACCAGAGTACTGGGTATTAATATACTCAATATTAATAAAACATTAAATTATTAACATTTGATTTAGTAAAGATATTTGTTAATGTGTAATGTATTTATAGATGTTCATATATTGAATACTAATTATTAATATTGAATATATTACCAGCAAAACATTAAATATTAACCAAATATGTAATGAAATATTAGTTTCATAAATATTTATCTGTGATTCTATTTAGGCCGCCTAGTTGTTGTTTTCTCTTATTCCTGACATTTAAAAACTTTTGTAGATTAAGTTAAAGACCATTTGGAGAAACAGAGACTAAGTAAATATGTGGAAATTAAGTGTATTCAGAGAGCAATAAGGAGATAAGATCTCTGGGTATAAGCATTTGTATAAAACATAAAAGATGAAGATTTCAAAGAGGCAATATATAACTTAATTTAAGCAAAATAATTTTTTTTGCTTTTTTAAAACCAGACTTTCTTTCCTTGAACTTTTCTTAAGTTTTTTTATTGAGATGTAATTGACACATAGCATTATATTATTTCAGGTGTACAACATAATTCGAGGGGATTTGTGTGTATTGTGAAAATGATCATCACAGTAAGTCTAGTTAACACCCGTCGTCACGCACAGTAAAATAATATATTCTAAACATGTTTTCCTAAGTCTTTCCTGATTTGTGGTAATCAAAATATGTTATATTTCATTGAGATTGTACATGATGTATACATTATTACAAAGTGATTGTAATAGTGCTATGCATCAGGAGAGCTGCTATTAAATTTTACCTAACAGATGCAGCAAGCTATTTGAACAGGGTTTTTCTTTTCCTATTTTATCATTGGAGCATAAAGTAATAAGTAGTATAAGAAAATCCGTATGGGTAGAAAAATTGGTTCATATGGTTTATGCAACATTTGCAAAATTTCACCTTTCTTATAATAAAAAGTTCAGTCTTTGCATTGTAATTTATGTTTTTCTGAGTCAGATGGAGCATTACTAAATTTAAACCCCCAGTGTGGTGTGGGGTTTCAGACAGTCTATTTCCTGAATTCTAATTGATGCACTAAAGGCAGGGATTTCCCTTGAGCTGATTTTCCTTTTTATTTATTATACCCACTTATTATAAGACAATAAGGCTTCCTTTATGTATTCAATCTACAATGAGGTTCTGGTTGCCCGTGTATTTACTTGTGTACATATGACAACATTTTTATGAATAGCACAAGATTGGAAAGAACAAATTGGATGTCGCTTAATACTAAAGAGCCATATCCATTTACTCAGGACTGGGTTGACTCACAAAGGAGTGGGGTATTCACTACGATAAAAATGCAGCTTTTTCCTCATCTCAGCAAGAGGCCATTACAGAGAAGCTCACCTATTAGCATCTGTGGTTGTCTCCCCTTAGGAGGATTTCATTGTCACTCTCCTGGAGTCAGGTAAGAGCCCTTTCCAGGAAATACTCATTACCCATTCTCTTACCCCGGTCTACAGCCATAGTTTCACGTAATTACCACCAAAGGACTATTTTCCTGTTTTCTGTTGGGGTGATTACATTATATTAAGCAACATTCGATAATACTTTGCAATGTATAAACTTGTGGAGCTCAAAATCTAAGTAAAATCCCTCAAATTTAATGCTCTGCAAAGTTACATTGCAGTTCCTTTGGACGGTAATTACGTTTAATACCAGATGGTTTCATGCAATCTGACTTTTCTATAATGAATGAAAATAATTTGAAGACTCATAGACCTCTCTCTTTCATTACAGAATGTACAGGCTTTTCCCACACCCTTGTTCTGGAACATTAAGAAAGAAGATATGGAGAGAGAGAAGAAAGAAACTGAGGACCCCCTGCTACTATTTCTATAAACAACTAGTGGTGTTTAAAGGCTAATAAAGCTCCAAAGATCTCTCTTATAACCATAATCTTTGGGCCAATTTTAAAATATTTTAGATGGAGGAATGTCAAGAAAAATAGAGACAATTTCTTAAGACATGATTCTCTTCCCTCAACCTCCATAAAAGATTATATATATATAGTTGTCATATAAGGGGCAATTGAAATTCCACAGCACAAAGGCAATGCAGAGAGAGGGAAAAAAAAAAGAATCAATCTTTCATATGTTTTTTTCAAAGGCTTGGCAAGAAACCAGGGGTAATATTTTTGCAACTGGGAATGTGTGTTTGCTGAAGAATATTCCCACATTTGAATCATCATCAGGGGTCCTAGTCTTGTTTTACTTTCAAAGGTAGAGAGGGCATAACATTAACCCCAACTGGGAAAAGGAAAATGCCTCACTGTAATTCTCCTCCAGGGAGCAGGAATAAAGGGATTACATATGCCTGCATAATGGAGAATTTCCTCACTCAGACAAGACAAAAGACTTCATTATTTTTTACCAGACACTTGAAGCCTTGTGCCTCCCAGTACCAGAAGACAGGCAGAGCAATGTTTTATATTAAACCACTAGATGGAGTTTCTAAGAAACTTGCCCTTATGAAGAGATATGGAGAAGGCAGTGAAGACTTGATATCATGACACTATGGCCCATCCCCTAAGAAAAGCCAGACAGTGCCTGAAGTTCGTGGTGTGTGTTTTCAATATTATCAGCTTCGCTTTTTCTCTAGGCAACAAATAAAGTTTTCATCCTGAAAATTATTTATTTTATCTTCAGGTGAGACCAAAAACATCTAAATTCTAATAAAAAATTTAAAGTGGCAAAATATAACCTAATTGAATATTCAAATACTTTTCCTTCTGACTAGGTCTATCACTGAGTAACTTTAGTGATATGTACATCTCACTTCTTATTGGTAAAGTAATAAAAGTCTCAAATTCCTTACTTACTATATCAGCATGGTAGTAGATTCCTATAAGACACCATGTATGGAGACCATGTTCCCAGTGACAGATCAGACCACCCCATTTAAGAAATTGAAATGAGTTCAGCTCTGCCTCATATTGACTTGTAGGTTTCTCTTAATAGCTTCACATAGAATATAGATAAAGATTTATAAATTTTCTACTTGCAAGAAGCAGTGTCTGATTTTTTTTTTTTTTATTCCTGTCTCAGGGTCTCATCTATTATGGGTATGCAGCCCATCCCTTGAGTAGCATAGTATCCTAACTGGAGATAAAATTAAGATTAACTTCCCTTTAAGAAGCATATTTCAAATACATGCTGTTCTGTTCATGATTATTTCCATGCTTCATAAGTGTGAAGTGATCAAAAAAGATGTTAAAATATTGGATCTTCACAAAATTTCAGGGTTCATTCATTTCACAAATATTTATTGAGCACCTACTGTGTACAAGATGAAGTAATAAGTGAGCAATGACAAAGTCAGCCCCTGCTCTCTTGGAGCTGTTTGGAGAGAGGCGCATATAAGGAACCGAAAGAGCAAAGTGGGTGACATGGCGGGAGTGAGTCCCTGATGGTAGAAGATGAAGCAGACCCTACATGACTTTGAAGTCATGCTGAGCTTCTAGACTTAGTCTTTCTCTGAAGAGCAATAGGATGTTGAAGATTTTAAGACAGCGATGATTAACTGTGTTAGTTGCCAGTTAGAACATCCTAATTAGTTACCAGTTGCTTGGTGATTGAAACAATGCAGATTAATCTCAAAGTCTCAGTCAGGAACTGGGTGTGGCTTACCTGGGTCTCTCACTAGGCTGCAGACATTTTGACTTGCTCGGGAGGAATCCCCTTCCTCGCTCACTCTCCCATTCTTTTTTTGTTTTGTTTTTTAAGATTTTATTTATTTATTTGACAGAGAGAGACAGCGAGAGAGGGAACACAAGCAGGGGGAGTGGGAGAGGGAGAAGCAGGCTTCCTGCTGAGCAGGGAGCCCGTTGCAGGGCTGGATCCCAGGACCCTGGAACCATGACCTGAGCCGAAGGCAGACGCTTAACGACTGAGCCACCCAGGTGCCCCTCACTCTTCCATTCTTAATAAGACTTAGCTCCCCATGAGTGGTCAGATTAATTAACCAATGCTTTGGTTCCTTCCTCGTCCACTGTTAGCAGAAGGCCACTCTCATTCCTTAAGAAGTGGGATCTCCCCATTCTACAGAGGGTGGCAATCCTCCACCCTCTGTAAAATGTTTTAAGACCAACCATGACCTGGGACAACGTGGCAGCCTGCTTCAGCAGAGCAGCAAGTGAGGGAGCAAGGGACAGTGAGGAAGATGAAATGCATGTCTTTTGTGACCTATCCCATCCCATTAGCCTTATATTTGTTAAGAGCAAGCCACTAAGTCTTGCCCACGTTCTTGGGTTACGCCAGAGCATGAAAACCAGGGGCGGGATCATTGGGGGCCATCTGAGAAACACCTGCATGGTGACTTGCAGGTGTTCATTTCAGAGATCACTTTGCTCACAATAATAACACACAAGGTTTATTGAGAGTGGATGCATGGAGACAGGTGAAGAGGCTCAGCTCTAGTCTATAGCATATATCGCTGTTGATCAGGCTCAGAACAGAGAAGGCTTACCTTCCAATATGACCCTCTGTCCCACTCTCTTCTGTCCTCCATCCTCTGTAGAATGTTTTAATACCAACCACGATATGGGACAAGATAGAAAAATAAATAATAGCAACTAAAATGTAAACAAAGTGTCAGTGTTTCCAAAGACTGGCACATTCGTAATCATAGCTGATCCTCCCAACTCCCTACGAAGTTGGAGGAAAGGGTGATGTTGTTCCCTATTTTACGTAGAGCACACAGAGGCTCAAGTGATGCCCATCCCCCACCTGAGGTCCCACAACCAGCAAATGCCAAGATCAGAACCATATGGTTCTAAACCTGTGTGTGCTCAAATCAACTTCTCCATTAGGCGTCCAGTCGAAGGCAGACCTTTCTGTCTGAGCTATGCTCCTGGGTGTAAAAGTACTAACCTAATGTGCTGTTTGAACCTTGAGACTAGCAAGTTCCAGATCCAGCCCCGCACCTCCCTCAGCCTCCTGTCTCCTTATACCTCCACCGCTCTGCCTCGAGCCCACTCCTGCTCTCCATCACTCTGCCTGTGAGCACGCCAGCAACCTCTTTTCCTGGGAACTCGAGGATGAGTGCTCAGATGGTCTTTAAAGAACTCGCCATCTAATGTCCAACGATGACAAAAATGCCATAAGCATTGAATAACTTCGGTTAATAATATGCTGCAGGAACATGGGACATAGAACTGTCCAAGTTTGTAATTATATTACTCATGTCAGAGATACTATTTGGTAGTTCGTAGTTTGGATTATAATATATGCTTGTGTATAATACAGTTGTATTTCCTTTTAAAAATAATAAAGCAGATGTTTACCATACTTTCGTGTGAACCTTGGCACCTTGTATTAGAGAATGTATAACCTCTTAGTGAAATCCAATCATGCCAGATTGAAGTGAATAATTTTCTACGAAGCCTGTTATTTTCCAAAATAGCAAAATATTTTACATTATCAAAGAATGTGACAATGGCTTATGTACAAGGCTGTTTTATTTATGCAGAAACATCCTAATGTGGCCTTCTTTCTATACCTGCTTCAATGTCCAGGTGTCGTCAGGGCAGATGTATTATGCAGTTTCTTTCTCTTGCTCCCTGCATCCCCCCTCCTACCCCAGATTTATGTCCTTCCATCCAAGTTCCTCCCTTCATCCATAGGAAACCCATTTTTGGCAGCTGGTTCTTTTGTATAATATAGTTAGATGTTTCCCATATGTTTTCTTCTAGACAGATTTATGTATCTATAGAAGAGTTGTTTCTTCTGTACCATTACCTGTTGTTTCTGTGGGAAAACTATTATAGATAAATAGCTGGTTATTAACTATTATGGATGCAGTGCCTAGAAGAGAATTTTGAGTTTTAACTTTAGTAAGATCCACCACTGTCCTTAGGGGAGGAAAAAGGCTTTCAGGAGCCTTCAAATGAACTGCCCTTCATGTGCCCTCCACTCACCCCACCCCTGCAAATTGCCTTCACCCAAATGTTTATTTAACAATTTGCTAGATGAATGTAGCCCCTAGTTTTCCACTAAGAAACTCTAGCGTTTACCAAAGAATTTCCTACTTCAAAAACCACTATAGATACTCAAAGGAAAGAGTGAGATATCAGAGCATTTGGTCTGAGAGACTCAACAGGAGTTGAGTTGCCAAATGAAGATGGAGACAGTTGTTGACCTTTGTCTTGGCACAGAGATGGGGGCAGTCCTGGGGTGTGGGGTTGGACAGGGGCTCAAGAGACAGTTGCACTGAGCCCGAGGCCCCACAGGTGATCTCAGAACACTAAGGGAAGAGGGCTGCATCTCCCTGATTTCACTTTGCTTGGGTTACATGGGTACCTTTGGAGTTCCAGGAAAAGAGGTGATGGGTAAGCAGCCTCTGCTCAGAGAACACAAGTTTCTGGCAGGGTCCCCTCCGTGAGGAAGTGAAAACCACCAAAGTGTATGCTTGGCTTGAGCAGAACTCTGAAGTCACTTGTCACACCATTTAACTGGCCCAGAGTTACTGAGCATTTTTTTCTCTTTCTCGTCATTTTCTGGTTTGAAATTGTACCAGCAAACACTGTTATATACACAGAAGAAAGTGATAGGAAGAGGAAATGAGAGCCAGTGGTTTTATATATTCTACACATAGGAGTGGTTGTCTCAGTCTGATTCAACACATGTTTTCTGATTGCAGGGTAGAGCTAAAAACCGGCCCCCCCATCACCCTGACCTTCTCTTACAGAGAACAAAGATGCACATGTCACGTGCTTAGCTGAAACTGCAGCCCATTTTACTGTTATGTTCTGAATTCTCTAGACCCCAGTGGGAAAGAAAGGGCTGATCTTGAACCAAAGAGGAAAGGGGGGTTGCTTTCTCACCACGCTTCAGCCATGTTGTTGGTGGATGGGATGGAGATGCCATAGGGTGTGGAGTCTTTCCAATAGTGGGTGCATCTCCACCCACCATGGAGACCTCCCTGTCTTGTTCAGTCAGAGGAGGGAGTCTCAGCAGGATCCACAGAGCCACCCCAGCGGGAATGGGTGTGTTAAGTTGACTTGGGTGTTGGGACACCCATGAGGTTCTAGAGTCTGTAGATGCAGTCCTAACTCTTCCCCAGCAAGAATGCCCAGGCATGCTCAGACTGGGCTGTTGGGCAAGTACCAGCAGTCCTTTATCACACGCAGCTTGAAGTCAGTGATATTCTTCCATTTCAAACATAGCAGGGATGACCAGCTTGAAGGGGTATACTGTATTCAAGTTGCATATGTTTTGTATGTAAGCCCTAAGGGCTCAGCTACTTTAGGAGGGGGGCACTCTTATGACAAAAAATAAAGTTTACTAAGACAGTAGCTAAAGTTTAAGCCTTGACGTTTACAAAAATGGCAGGAATCTGTAGATCTGTGCCAAGATAACACTGCTTTCCAAATAGATGTTCTCCAGATGCTTCATCATTTGCAGTCCTTGGTCTGAAGAACAATTCTTAGTCTATATACATCGTGCAAGATTGTGCTAAAGCTTTGTGAACTCAGCGTAACTTATAAGTGCGTCTTCTTGGGGGGACACCATCCTAGTCCTGGAAATAAATACATTCTCTATCTCTCACTGCCATAAATCCTTGGTGTTCGATAAAATTTTGACTTTGGGTTTTATCTTGAACTTCTCCGTGGTGCTTATTAAACTAAGAAGAGTGATGTGGGGGGGATGGCTCCCTGTAACGCATTTCCATTCATTGAATTTGCATGATTTTCATAGGTATTTGCTGTAATTATCTTCATTGGCATCAAAAGCATTTTTAACTACTTGAATATACACGTGATATCGTAAGAGCTGCTTCAACGTATGCTAAACAGACATGTATCTTTTTCTTGAAGATCTTGGCTCTGAGACAGACAGTGATAATCTATCTAATTCAAAGCCAATCTAGAAATGTGTTTTAGGAAACGTAAGTATGAAAGTTTCATGTAAAGCAATGACAAAAGTCATGTGTTCAGGTGTTGAAAAACATGGCATCATAAGATTTGCATATCATAAAATCCTTGCATTTTAAGTCTCTGAGTTTTCTTTGAGATCAAGGTCTTGTCCTCACTTTACCAATAAGAAAACTGAGCCCAAAGGTCACTCACCTAGTCCGTGACAGTGTCGCCTGGGGACACAGGTCTCTGAGCCTCTGTATTATTTTCTCTCCACTTGACTACTATGTCAAGGGAAATGCTGTCATTTCCAGTTGGAGGGAGCTTTCTGGAAGAGGAATTTTGTTTTCTGTTCCAATCATTCACACCCCAGGTGTTGAGTCACCCAATTATCTTCCCTCATGAGCAAATCTGAAACTATACCAGCCCAGGTATGGTTTCAAGGGGGCACGTTTTAAAAAGTCTTCAGAGTTTCTCATGGCTGCAAAGAAAGTGGTAACCGGTTACCTGTAAGCCACAGACTTTAGACTGAGGTTTCTTAGGTATTAATCTCAGCTTTCATTACTTCTCTTTACCAGTCACTTTTGCCTCTAGTTTTGTTTTCCTGTTTCCCTGGAGTTCTGCAAAATCTCCTTGGAACATATACGCCATCATCCCAGAGGCCTGGGTGGACAAATCCTTCCCCAAAGGGCTGTTCTTAGAAACCTCCTTGTGTAAATTCAAAACCAATATCGTGCCTACCTATGGTGAGGCTGGCCCTACTGCTTGCAGGATCCCGATGGAAGCTCCCCCCTTGGGTGGGGGGAGACGGGTCGTGGCAGGCGGGAGCTTTCTGTTTATTTCCAGCACCCCCGCGTCGCCTAGCTGTGACAGTTGTGCTTTGTAAGTGTTCTTGACACGGAGCCTCAAGCCCATTTTCCTTCTTGGTTATTTGTCATTTGCTGTGTTTTGCCTGATCATTGGTGTTTCCTTAAAAATAAAGAGTAATGAGCAGTTATGTTATTATTCATCCCAAGTGTACAGATCATGCATTTATCTCGGGCTCCTTTTTTTTTTCTAGAGCTTGCACTCGACAGCGCATGCTGAGCGGATCATTTGAGGGGCAGCCAGCAAAGGAAAGGTCAATTCTCAGTGTGCAGCATCATATCCGCCAAGAGCGCAGGTAAATACACCAGGACACAAAGCTGCAGAGAAAGTAAGGAAAGGAGTTTTACAGGAAATGGTCTCTGTGCACAGCCCCGGTTAGCAGACAGGCATGTGGGAGGAACTTTGTTCTATTTGCTGATGGCAATAATAACGAAACTCACAATCAGATTCAAAGAGTCAAAAAAAATCTTTCAAAAACCTTTTCCTTTGTGATGGCCAAATTCTTACTTTTAAGGATCAGAAGGACAAGTTCTGCAATTTGTTAGATGGGATCAAAGGCATTTGAATAAACGAAAGCTTTCGCTATGAAAAGAAATGATGAGCATTTGTGACGGTATCAGAAAAGTTACTTTATTTTGTTCTTATAATGGCCATTGTTCAAAAGTCAAAATTTGGTTTGGGATGTATTGACCAGTTGGCTGTGGTTGTTTTAGGTCACTGAGACACGGATCCAATAGCCAGAGGATCAGCAGGGGGAAATCTCTTGAAACCCTGACTCAAGATGTAAGTTCTCAGCGATGCTTTGGATTTGGGAAGCATGATTATGAAAATGCATTTAAATTACTGTTTAGAATGTTCCAGCGCCTGGACCCTTCTGTCACATTGTCCTGTCCCCGTAAGACTTTATATCAGAGGGAATCAGGAGACTCAGGAAGCAAATTGAATGGCCAGTACAAAAGAGTGACCATTTACTGTTCAAAAATCCAGACATCCCACAAAGCACATGTCTTCATTAAGATAGCAACACAAAAGTGACGTGTGACTTGCCTCTGACTGACATTAAAGATATTCAAAGCATTATATAGAATTGATCTGTATCATTAACTTTAAATCTTTACTAAATTTTCCGAATATTCTGGAATCTAGATCCAGTGTCTGTAACTTCAGGGCTTTACCTACTAGGAAATAAAATCTTACTTCTAGAAGAATTTTTCTTTCAAAGACTGCATACTATTTCCCAAGAATTTCTTTGCTTTTAGACTCTAGGTCATTCATTGATTAATTAACTGACTCAAAGAAAATATTTACCAAGTGTTTATTATGTGCCAGGTCCTGTTCTAAGTGAGGAGGAGCAGTGGGGAAACAAGACAAAACCTCTGCCTTCCAGGAACTTAAATCCCATAAGAGAGACAAAGACTAAACAAGGAAAGAAATATATAATCATTTCTGGAAGTGTTTTTTATTTATTTTCCATCATGTCTTCATTGCTGTGACAGTTTGCTCTGCATTATAAAAAAAATAAAATGATACAAAGAAATCAAAGGTGTAGATTTGGAGGCAGGGAATGTTCGAGAAGATGGTCAGTGTTCGCACCTCTGTGTTAGACCAGAGACCCGAACGAAGCGAAGAAACAAGCCACATAAAAACCCAGGCAAACCCACGGAGGCAGAAGTCTAACCTCTGGGTTAAACTCACCAGCAGCTGTACATGCCGAGGTTTCTAAGATACTTGGAAAGTACATATTAAATAATTATCATTGGTGACACCCACATTAAACTGTAGATCTTAAGTTGAGTCTAGCTAAATTGGCTAAGAAAGCGGAGTCCTGAATATTCAGAGCCAAGGATGGCATTGGAGAAAGGAGATCTAGCAAGAGAAAGGTAGCAAGCCTTTGGGTTTTTTGGGTTTTGTTTGTCTTTTTCACCACTTTACCTCTCATTTCTTAAGTTTCTGGAGTTTCCAGAATAATACAACTGCTTTCAATAAGTAGAAACTGCTATCTTAGAGTAAACTCTCCTAAGTGTTCCAAGCACAATTGACGATAGAAGTTGGTGATGAGAACACCTGATGCCATCATCACCCATTTTACAAGGTTCTAATTGGTGTGCACACCTGTTGGTGCCATGATTTTTAAGCCAGAGCCCTGTCGGATATGATCTACCATATTGTCTACATGGAATTGTGATTGGATCCAACACATGGCCTATGTATGCATAATTTGGGGGCCAGGCATGTTGTATGGAGAAAACTTCTACGAGAAAATTCAGAGAGACAACACTAATTCAAAGCACTTTCCTTCAGTGTGATTCACTAGAAATACATAGTCTACTTAAGAACCAAATTAGAACACGGCTTTGAAAATATGTGTTTAAATATACACAACAAAAGACCCTACCTATATAGTCTGAATTCCAGAGGCTTAGTTCTTCTTCAAAGACTTTTTATTCTATTTATTACACAGACATATAATGAAAACCTATTCCCCATCTTCTCCATAGCAAAAAGTGATGAGCCTCTGCTAATTTCCTAAGAAATCACTCCTGATATCTTTTCCTCCATAACAGAAGCAGTTTAAAATAGTTTCATCTCTCTCACTTATTCCAAATGATAGAAGATACAGATAATGAAATCTAAGGAATACTTGCAATAATATCTATCAGGTTATTTGAGCAATGGCTGTCCATGTCCCAGGGAGTGAAAACCAGAGTCAGGGTCCTGCATGATCAGGCCCCCTCCCACCCCCCTGATCTCAGTGTCTTGTACCCTGGTGCTTGCCCTCTTGACTCCACCCACAGGGCATCTTGCTGTTCCATGTGCACACAGCTGTTCCCTGAGCATGAGGACCCACCCATCCTCTGGAAAAGCACACTTCTGTAGATACCCAGTGGCCTGCAGATCCTTCTCATCTTTGCTCAAATAACAGCTTCTTATTGAGGCCTGCTGTGACCGGTCAAACGCGGAGCCTTCTAGCACTCTCTGTCCCCTTTGATTTTTACCATAGCACTAAACATCTTCTAACACCCTCCCATATTGTGATTCAATTTTTATCTGTATCCCCTGACTAGAATGTCAGCCCCACAAGAACTGGATTTTATCCTTTCTTTTGGCTTTTTTGCCATATCCTCAGCACTCCCAACAGTGCCTGACACATAATAGGTCCTCAATAAATATTTCTATTGAAAAAAGATACCCTTTGGAAGGAAAAAATACCCTTATTAAGATGACTGTGGTCATTAAAGATATATATATTAAAATCAAGATATTTATTTCAGCGTTTCTAAAAATGATCTTTCTGGGCCTTCAAAAAAAAATCTTCCATTTTGATGTGCCCCCTTTTATTGTATTTCTAGCATTCCAATACAGTGAGATATAGAAACGCACAAAGAGAAGACAGTGAAATCAAGATGATCCAGGAAAAAAAGGAACAAGCGGAAATGAAAAGGTATGGGGCGCTATGGTCTTTCTGGGCTCTGGCTCTGGAATGACAGCCTTTCCCTCAGCCTTCCTGTACGTGAATGTCCCCTTCCAGGAAAGTGCAGGAAGAGGAGCTGAGAGAGAATCACCCATACTTCGACAAGCCTCTGTTCATTGTTGGACGGGAGCACAGGTTCAGAAACTTCTGCCGGGTGGTGGTCCGGGCACGCTTCAATGCGTAAGTGCACTCCATTTCAGCCAGGTGCTTGGCCTGCATCGTACAAACAGCAGGGGGGGTTGTCATACTAGGAAGAAGGAACATGTAATCCTAATGGGGTCACAAAATAAACCATGGGCTAATTAATCATGCTGCTCCTTTTGGCCGAGCGGTCGACCAGGTGGAAAACAAACAAAGGTTACAAGCCGTTAACATTTATATAAAACTCACGTTTATAAAACACTGAACAGCCATTTTTATGTGCTCATTTTAAGTCACCCAATACGTTTCTGTCGGTGTTACTAACGCCACATTTTATTTCGGAAATACCGAACCAAGAGTAGACTGAATGATGCAGGGAAGGTCATTGCCCACACCTTCTTTCAGACTTGTAGTTTCTTTGTGGTGAAAATACCCTAATTGGATTATTCTAGAATAATGTAAAATAGAAATAAAGTTGACTAGTGCTTCCATTACCAATTGTTATGAGAAGAAACCCCACTGGCCAGTGTCTCTGTCCCTACATGCATGGAAGAAATGTGTAGGAGGCCGTCGGTGTGGTCAACCAGGAGGACGTTGCATTTATGACGCCCCAAGCCAATCTCAGCAGGCAACCAGTGGATGAAATGGCATTTTTGTCCTGCGCAACTTTGGTATATATCCGGAAGAGTCCTAGAGGAAGTGTGGAAGCTTTCCATCTAAGTAGTTGGATCTTCCCCCTTGGTATCATTAGTAGTATATTATGATAGCATATCACTATGTGTTGTGGGCTGAGCTGTGTGTGTCCCCCTGCCAAAAAAATCTGTATACTGAACCCTTAATCCTTGGTACCTTAGAATTTGACTTTATTTGGAAATAGCCTCTTTAAAGAGATAATTAAATTAAAATTAGGTGATTAAGGTGGGCCCCAATCCAATATGACTGTTGTCCTTTTAAGAGGAGGACATTTGGACACAGACACTGAGAGAGGGGAGACAATGTGAAGACATAGGGAGAAGACACCGTCTACAAACCAAGGAGGGAAACCTGGGACAGGTCCTTCCCTCACGGCCCCCAGAAGGAACCAACCCTGCCCATACCTTCCTCTTAGACTTCTCGCCTCCAGAACTGACAGAACACATTTCTGTTGTTTAAGCCACTTGTTCTGTGCGACTTTGTTACAACAGCCCTAGGAAACTAATACACACACAGACCGTCACGGGCTTCACTGAAGATTGATCACGGGCTCCCTGAAAGTGAAACTTATAAGTAGGGGCCCCAAGAAATTCTATATAAATCACTCCACAAGAAATCAGTTAAACACAAGAGGGGAAAGCTCTATTTAATTTCTGGAGGTTTAATTGAACAATCATGAGGAAAACTCTTGAACTAAGGCAGAGATTTTAATGGAGTGTTTTTAAATGGAAGTCAAAGTTTTGTCACATCCATGTCAGAAATTGTTGATTGGATTCATGAATTCTCAAATCAATTATTTTGAGAAATTTTAAACTTTACTTTCACAGCCATCAGCTGCAAACTCTTCTGATTTTTTCTGTCATTTAATGTTCTCTGCCTTTGAAAGCCACACAGTTCCTGGAAATGTAATTTTACAGAGGATACAAAAGAGATTTTAGGTAGATAAGATGTTTATAAATACCATGCTGTCAAGTGAGAACACACTTGCTTTGTTGCAGAATGTTGTGTTTGTTGTCTCTTACAGATCTAAAACAGATCCCGTCACAGGAGCTGTGAAAAATACAAAGTACCATCAACTTTAGTAAGCATCACAAAGTCCATTTTCCATGCACATTTGAAATTTCCATGTACCACTTTATGCTGCATAAAAATGTAAAGACTCCCTTTATTTTCTTGCCATATTGTGCTAAGAAATAGATAATGGGGGCTTTCAAAAAAAAAAAAATCCAGTCACATTTATAGAATCACAGAAGGGCCATCTCTGACCTGCACGGCCTTCCCTGGAGCGTCCGTTTCTCAGTTATGTTTGGTCTTTGGCAGTGATCTGCTGGGACTAGTAACTTACCTGGACTGGGTCATGATCATCGTAACCATCTGTTCCTGCATTTCCATGATGTTTGAGTCCCCCTTTCGAAGAGTCATGCACGCCCCGACTTTGCAGGTACGACTGCCGAATTTCAGCCCACAGCTCAGCAGAAACACGGGGTTGCGGTTTTTCCCTTCTTGATGACCCAACTGCCTCTTGCCCATTTCAGATCGCTGAGTACGTGTTTGTGATATTTATGAGCATCGAGCTTAATCTGAAGATTATGGCAGATGGCCTATTTTTCACTCCAACTGCTGTCATCAGGGACTTTGGTGGAGTCATGGACATATTTATATATCTTGTAAGTCTCCGGTTATTTCCTAAATGTAAGGTGTTGTGGCTTTGTGAACTCTCCTGCCTTTCTTGGTACAAGAGAAAGATGCGTGAGTTCCAGAGGTTTAGATGCCATTACTGAGTCTCAAGTACCACAGGCAAATGAAGGGCATGCATGTAAAAATCTAAATAAAAAGCATTAAAAATTTCCGTGGATATGGTTCACATACATCAACTACATTCTTTTACATGTAAGACATACATTAATAAGGCCTAAGACAGAAATCTCGTTCCTACCCCACAATCCTGTGGCTCCCGTACAAAAAAACAAAAAAACAAAAAAAAAAACCCACCACCTCCATCATATAATTGATTGATGAGTTCCTCATTGCTAAAAACAGCCTAACATGAGAGTGGTTGGAGCTTTCTTTCAATTCCAATATACAAAATACCTGACTAGACAAGGTGACCATTCAGCTGTTCAGTTAAACTAAATTGGGAAACCATAGGAAGGGACTCAAAGACATTTCATTTTTTCTATATGTCCAAGAAGGCATAAAATCAATGTCTTTTCCAACATAACAAGGAGAATCATGACCACTAACATAGAGTATCTTTAGATCGTCAATAAAATAGTGAGAATCAGGTCAAGCATGAAGCTTAGTATCCTTGATCAAAGACATTTCAACCTGCGCCTCCAGTGTGTAGGTTAAAGTAAGGAGCAGAAATGCACTGGGGTACACACAAAGAGTGGGCACCCCCATTTCATGCCTGCAAACAGCTGATGACTTTTCCTTTGGCGTCACTAACAGGTGTAGGTGGGGTTCAGAGTTAAGAGATTGCATATATGTACCTAGTGAATGCTTGTCCTCTGGGCCATGTGGTATCTCTGCTCAAGGCAAGTTGTATGCAGTTGGCTCTCAGTGTAGATGGGGAAGGATAAATTGTATAAATTCTAGGGATATGTCTTCCCTTGCTAGGTGAGCTTGATATTTCTTTGTTGGATGCCTCAAAATGTGCCTGCTGAATCGGGAGCTCAGCTTTTAATGGTTCTTCGGTGCCTGAGACCTCTGCGGATATTCAAACTGGTGCCTCAGATGAGGAAAGTTGTTCGAGAACTTTTCAGCGGCTTCAAGGAAATTTTCTTGGTACGTTACACTTACCCTTTGCTTCCAGTTCACACAGGCCGGCTCTGTAATGAAGCTAACGAGGGGCCACAGGGAGTCTCGCTTGCCAGAGGCTAAGTGTCCAATCTTGTTTATCACCAGGAGCCTATAAAAGGCACTAACCAAACACAGTCACACATTTGGAAGCTTTGCCCATGCATGCTCTGACTTGTTGGTATATCTAATTCAATGAACATTCTTAGGAAAGTTACAATGAAAGGAAAAATCCAAGAGGTCATATTTGCTAACACTTCCATTCCTAATTTGTGACCCTAATTTTTATTCTGAGTTTCAGTTTCCTTACCTAGAAATTAAAGATAAGATTCAACACCACCTACTTCACCAATATTAGCAGTTAACACATTTGGGCTCCTTATTTTATTTCATAGGTCACCAGTTTCTTACAACATAGACTATGTCTCTGATCTTTGGAGTGTTAACATAAAATAACTTAAAAAAAATGTAACATACAGTTATACCCCACTTTAAGTAGCCTCAGGATACAGTAATGAATACTTGAAAATGGGGAGAAAACATCCTTTTCATTCTTTTTAGTTGGGCAACCTTGATCGAGGGTTCCTTCCAAGAACAGGGCTGCGGAAAAAAACGATGAGTAGGAAGCTCGTTGCTCACAATCGTTACAGAAGGATCTGTGCCTTACAAAGGAGTGATCAAAGGATTCTTTTTATTATTGATGAGTTCTGCTCATGCATGGAAAACATTAATTAATTTACATAGGCTTATTTTACATCTTGCTTTCTAGAAACACACCTACGGGGAGAGAACAGCTGTCGTTGCAGTTGATTCTAGGGTATTTTAAAGACAGGTTGTGATGTTTCTGTAGGTACAGAGTCACTAATATTTTTTTAAAGACGTATTTGAAATCCCATATTTTCTTTGTGCTAAAGCCACAACATGGTGGCTTTTCACACAGCTTGAACTGAAAGAGAAAAGGGTATCACCCGACTGCTAATATGTATGCATCTTTGAGCCCTGATAGAATTTAGCAAAGAATCTATTTGCCTTTCTCCTGATGATGTTTCTGTGAGATTTTAGTATATTTAAGGTGTGTGTTTAGATGATTCACCCAGCACAGTGGTTTTGTTCAGTGTTTGACCCTTTGCTACTTTTCTCTGCTGAGACCAAGGCACCATCCAGCAGAGGGAGCACCAGTCAATTAACAGACTTGCTTTTTAGGACCCAATGATCTCACCTCCTCTGGATGCCCTCCCTGCTCACAAGAGAGCAAAACCACTGTCTCTCTAATTTATGCTCTGCTGATAGAGGTAGGAATCCATTTGGAGAAAATGGGGGAAATAGAATTATTCAAACACTTTTCTTTGGTTCCATTAAAGTGTCGATTTCAAAATCAGAAAAACCCAAGTCATATCAAAAATACCATAGCCCGTTTTCTTACTGGAAAGTCATGTGTTTTTATTCTAAAAATCCAAAACCTGTTGTTAATTCCCTTCTTTTAACATTCCAGCAAAGCTAATTGAATGACCCGAGGTGGAAAAGTTAGACTATCAAGACCAAGGATTTCATACCATGTTATCTGAAAAGTCATGTCCCTATCCCTGTTCAAATCAAGCCTACTGGTGAATTTCTTACCCTGAGATGTGATGTCTCACCAATTTTTTTCAGGTCTCCATTCTTTTGTTGACATTAATGCTTGTTTTTGCAAGCTTTGGAGTTCAGCTTTTTGCGGGAAAACTGGCCAAGTGCAATGATCCCAACATTATTAGGAGGGTAAGATACTACTTTCTGTTGTTTGGGATTAAAATTCGGGTAGTTTGCCATGTCTCGGTCAGCACGTGCTGAGGCTACTTTGAGAACCCCTCACAAAACTAAGAACTCTCTTCCCACCAACTCCTTCTGCTTAAAGCGGGCACTATGTCTCTTCTGGCTAGCACAGGTTTGTGAGATTAAAAGCACACCCCAGATTATTCTACTCTCTCCTGCTGTTCTGGTGTGAGCCTCTGTTGACACGTTTGGCATAGCCACCCTAGATTCCGTATGCTTGTCCCTTTGGGCCTCCCCTAACTTAATCCTGCTTCTGTTATCACAGGAGACTCATATCAGCAAACAGCCCCCCAGAAAGGACAAGAGGCATAGTTGAAGTTTGACTGTCGTACCACTGTTCATTGCTTCTCCACTTCAGCTTTCTCTCCACTGGGAAGTCCAGAATCTTCCCCAGTAGGACAGTTAACAAAGACCCAAGCTTGACCACTTCTGCTACTGCCCTTTGCCTTATCTTTCTTCAGTCAATGTTAGTAAGAGGCGGCCAGCTCCTGGACAAGCCAGTGTTTCAGTAGCTGAACATGATGAAAGGAACACATTGCATCTTGGGTAAGGTGGACAGCTCTCCTCCAAATGCCCTCTCAGAGACTCAAGTTCCTTTTGTCTTCCTTCTTTATCCACCCTTTGCTATCTTCAGAGTCTTCTCCATTTAGCTGGCAGAGAGGAGCGCAGAAGCACCTCCATGTTTGAGGGTTACAGGCTGAGCCTCGAGGCAACACATCTCACTTCTACCAGTTCCACTGGAGAGAGCACGGCCTCCCAAGGCCAGATGGGAGAATGCCGTAGGTAACTCAGTGATGTAGCCTGCAGAAACACGGGCCAAGTGTGGTTATAATTAGCCATCACTGCTACACTCTCCAGTGTCCTTGCTCTTAGGATTCTGCCCTGTGGTACATGTAGATTTAAAAAGTGAGTCACGCACTGCTTATGTACAAACAGCAAAAGCATTTCCTCTTTCATCCAGGTAAAATAATGCCTTAAGTCCATTAAAAGGCATGTACCCGAAGACCTAATAGAGCTTAACTATAATACATATTTCTCCATTTCCAGCAAATATGGCTATCTAATACAGAGTTTTCATTGGTATGAAAATGCCTACATTTTCAGGGCTACTGATTATAAAAATGATTCCTTCTCTAATGGTTATAAAATACAGGTCACATCTTTGTCCAGTCAAAATACATTATCTCGACTATGTTACAGTGAGGATTTCAGGAAGCAGCAGAGCAGAAGAAACACCCTAGGTGGGGCATCACCTGCGTCGCCAGAGGTTTCTGGAATTTTGATAAGCCTGAGAAGACATAACAAGGAACATGGCATAAAGGTCATGGTGAACCAAATTAGCTAACAAGGGAGATGATAAAGAGCTGATGCATTCATCTGCACACTCGAGTCAGGAAGGAAGGGTTATTTTAGAATCACACTGAATGGAGGCCAGAAAGATGACAACAACATTGCAAGATGAAGCCCAGGAGGAATTTTGCAGGACTCAGTATCTTAATAATGGCCTAAGCACATTGTGATTTTACACTATCTACTCATACCCACACCAAGCTAGAGATAGAGGGACAAAAGTTAAATAACCTGTCCAAGGCCACCCCAAAATAAGTGGGGAAGCTATGATTCATGTCTAGGCAGCCTAGCCCCATCATCCATGCTTTTAACTAAGATGCCAGGACACCTCACCCCATCAAAGGTTGGCCCCCGCAGGCTCAGAAAGACAAACCGGAAGGGGCCATAAGGCCAAATATATCCGGGGGACTCTACTTGATCCACCACCACACAGCCAATAGGAATAATGTTGTAGATGAACGTGTAAAGTTACAATGGGAAGAAAACTGCAATATATTTTAATATTTTCAAAATATTTTAATATTTTACCCTATGGAAGGGTAAAAAGTGTGCCATTTCATACACACATAGGAAAAAAGACTAGAAGGATATATGCCCAAATGTCAACTGTGTTTGTCTTTGGGTAATATTAGGTAAGTTTCTCCATGCCTTTGAAGTTAAAGGGGTATTATTTGTGCAAGAAGGCTGTTGTTTTAAGGGATGTTATTGGTAATCCAAAGAGAAATACTGTTGGTATTAACTAAACTAGTGGAAATAAGAATGGAGAGGAGGCCCAAGCAGGACAGGGGAAAGCCATAGATGACTCTGAGATCTTTATGCCGGGGTTGACAAGATGCTGGTCCGTGGACAGAAATGGGGAAGGTTGGAGGAAACAAGGTTGAAGGTGACTTTAACCAGGTTAAAATTTGAAGTTCCATTGAAATATCCAAGTGTATACACATTATACCCAGGAGACGGGTTTAGGTTCAAAATATGACAATCATGGCCAAAGTCACAAAGATAAGACAAAATGAATAAAGACAGAAGATGAGTGAAGAACTTCTTACTCATGTTTTAAAATCTTTTAAAAACAATGTTATTGGAGATATAATTCACATATGACACACTTTGCCTGCTGGAAGTGTACAGTTGGATAGTTTCTAGCATATTCAGAGTTGTATAATAGTCCTGGAACATTTTTATCGCCTCAAACAGAAACTCTGTCTTTTAAGTTTTCCCCTCTATACCCTTATCCCCCTGACACCCCCATCCCCAAATAACCACGCGTCCACTTTCTGTCCCTATAGAGCTCCTCGTTTTGGACTTTTATATGAAGGCAATCTATGTGGTCCTTAGTGGCTGGCTTCTTTCATTTAGCACAGTGATTTCAAGGTTCATCCATGTTGTAGTCCATGTCAGCACTACATTCCTTTCTAGGGCTGAATAATATTCCATGGCGTGGCTACAGCACATTTCATTTATGTACTCATCTGTTGATGAACACTTGGATCGTTTCCACCTGTTGATCATTATAATTAAGCTATTTACAATAATAATGACATAAACATTCATGAACAGGTTGCCGTGTAGATATCTGTGTCCATTTCTCTTGGGTAAAAACGTAGGGGTGGAATTGCTGGGTGTTCCGGTAATGCTTTGTTTGGTCATTTGAGGACCTGTCATGCTGTTTTCCAAAGTGGCTGCACCATTTTCCTGCCCCACCAGCAGTGTGTGAGGCACGCAGGTGTCAGGGGAATAAGGATATAGAGAGGATTCCAATTTCTGCACATCCTCGTCAAAGCTCATTATTTGACTTTTTGATTATGGCCTTCTCAGTGGATGGGAAGTGGCATCCATCGTGGTTTTGATTTGCATTTCTTGGCTGACTAATGACGCCGAACATCTTTTAATGTGCACATCGGCCATTTGTGTGTCTCCCTGTGAGGAATGTCTGTTTGGATCCTTTGCCTTCTTGCGAATGTTTCCAGCGCAAACTTTCACTACTCATCTCTGCAGTCCTTGTCCCTGTTTGCTAGGTGGCTGTCCACGTCACTGTTGCCATACAAAAACCTTTGCTATTCTAGGTTAAAAGTGTTTCTTATCTTTTATCTTTTAGGAATTCATTGTCTGACCAGGCTCCCCTCTTCCTTTTTTTTTTTTTTTTCCTATTTTAGGAAGATTGTAACGGCATATTCAGAATTAATGTAAGTGTGTCCAAGAACTTAAATTTAAAATTAAGACCTGGAGAGAAAAAGCCTGGATTCTGGGTGCCCCGTGTTTGGTAAGCATATCAAAAAAGATCCTGAAGAATGCTGTATTTGTCAGTATAAGGTTTTAAATCAATATAATATGGCATAAAAAGTAATTTTGCTGGAGGTGCCAAGATGATTTTAAGGAATACAAGGCAAAGCACTGAATTACCACAGGATGCAAAAACACAGTAAATGAGCGAGCAAGTGGTACACTGAGTCCCGTGTTGCTTCATGAAACTAATGGATTATCACCCCAGTATTTTTCTAATATTTGGAAGTATGTATCTCGATTCATATGGCATTAGAAATTAGTGAGCCTTAAAAGACAAAGATTTTCTATCAAATTAAAACTAAACTCGTCCTGAGTTTATATCTTTAAGGGAGAATCTGATATCCTCATAACAGTTGTAGAGAAGCCCAAATCATAAAGCTGTTTCAATTTTAAAACCCATTTACATTGAAGGATTTCCATTATGGAAACACTGGAAAGGAATAATCAGGAACACAAATGATTATATCTAACTTTCTCTTTAAACTTCATTTTTCTTGAAAATGAGTTTTCAAAGCATTTATATCAAAGCTAGAAGTGCCTAGTACCTTCTTTCTCATCCAGTTTATTAATGACCATGAATGAAATCTCTCAGTAGGCTTCACTGATGAACTGAGTGTCCTATTAACTTCATTTGTCCTTTTAAGTAGTCATCTGTTTTCTTTTTATTTCATTTTACCTCTTAGAATAACAAGTGAACCACAGCGACGACTTGTTTTTGTCACAATTGGTATGCTCTACTAAATGTCAGAACTCTTTCAAAGAAATTACATTTCACCCAGTTGTACCCTTAGGACTCATTGTGACCAGCTTTGGCATTTCTCTAATGTGAAATTAACTTTTATAAACAATTCAGTACAATTTATACTGGGTTTTAATTTTTTTAAATACCAAAGAATTATGAAAAAAAAAAGATGAATTTGGATATGTGGCTTGAGCTGAGGAGGGATGTACATAACTCATGGAGATATCCTTATCCCAGTGCTTACTAGAAAAGCAGTCTAATTTACATTAAAATAAAATATTAAGGAAGCATAGAGTTTATTTTTTGTGAAGTGAAAATGCATTATTACACCATAAATAATTTATTCAGAGCAAGACATCAAATGAGATTTTTTTTTTTACTACTGTTTTGGAATTTTGGCAAAAGCCTCCGAGCTGAGGTCACTAGGAGATAAAGTTTGATTATATTCCGAAGAGAGCAACATGCCATTTCCAGCAGCACTGACTAAAAGACCATCCACCTCCGTCACCCAGCTCCCGTAAAAGGAAACACTATGCTCAAAGACAGGGTCATGGAAGTGAAGGAATTCAGTAGACGGTGCCGTGGCTTCTGTACCTTCACTGTGGAGGAGGTTAGGGGTGCTTGTCTCCCCAGCCAAGTGAGGCCCCCCGTGGGGACTGTTTCATGTCAGAGACTGGCAAGGCGAGAAGAGATGCTCGTGTAGGCAAGCTGCCCTTCACCATCTGGCAGGGCAGGGTTATTGGGTGTTTCTGGAAGCTCCGAGTCATCACTGCCTGGGGCCACCTGATCTGAGCCATCTTGATGGAACTCTGCTGCAAAAGGCTGTATGCTGGGGAGAGGGGGCTCTTGTTGGAGGGGCTGTGGGGAAGTTTCCAGGAATGAGAACTGAGGAATCACCCTCAGACAACCCTCAGCAGGAATGACACAATGGGGCACCCTCATGCTGGGGAATGTTTCAAGATATAGTCTATTAATAGAAAATTTGAGATACAGTAGAGCCAACAGATCAAGAGACAATTACCATTGAAGAGCTGGTTTGTTACTCATAGTTCCCAAGAGGATGGGGAGGCCACACAAGGAAGCACCAGGGTCAGTCACGAGGCACAGGGGAGCTGTGGGAAGGAACCTTTATCGTGGTTTCCCTGAGTTGGGATGGGTGAGTTGGGCCAAGCAGGCTTAGGATTGGCTCGTTGAGGAACTTCAGTGGGCTCCTGGACACAGGTGCTGTCCCTAGTGGTCCGGTACCTGGTGATTCGGGCAGGCGGATGATGGGCTGGAGTGTGGAAGCCTGATAAAGGAGGTAGTTGGGGCTGTGGACTCTGGGTTGGTTGGTCTGTGTTTAAAAAGCAAGCCCTAAAAACAACTCCTCCCAAGGAGGTGGGAGGGTGATGAGAGAGGTAGGAGGCCAAGGCAGGGTGATTCGGGCATTTTATCGAGCTGTCCAGAGCAAAGTGTGTCCATCATAGGCATGTAGGACAGACGTTAAAGTATCAAGTTTACAGAAGGTAGGAACATGGCAGACAACACACTCCATGAAAAGAATAGTTGTTGGGACCAAAGCAGCAGTGGCTGGTGTCCGCCAGTGTAAGATACATGGACTTGAACTCCATTTCTAAGTCATCACATCCCCTTCTTGTAAGAATCAGATGGTGGCCTGAAGGGGAGGAGGTTAACAGAGCAGCCAGCACTCTTCTTCCCTCCTCAAGCCGTGGATCAGGCAGAGCAGCTAAGAAAGATATTCTTGTACAGGTCATGAGAACAAAGGTTTGATGTAGGATGGAGTGGGCTTTTTAGAAGGAGACTCACATAACTGAAAGTGACCCAAAAGCTTTGGGATGTCCACAATGTCAGGAAGGGAGCTAGAAGCCTCTAGAAGGCAGTGTTGGGAGAAAAGTAAACCTGTTTCCAACCATACCCTCTGGCATCCAATCTGTTCCATAAAACCAGCTACCTGTGATTTTAAAAATTCATGCAATGTTTCATGTAAGTTATTACTAGGGGTTTGGAGTTTGACAGCACTTTAAAAGCATAAGCTGACAGAGGGGCATCACTTGAACACCATCACAATAGGGCTTGTCCATTGGTTCAGAATATTGTGACTTGGGTTAGTTTTAGGGAAATAAAAATCTTCTGTCAAATGAATGTCAACTATAACCACGCTAATTTTCACATTTTCCTTCGTTAATAAGCTCATCAAGAGTTAGCAGCCAAAATAATTTTATATTGGTGAATTTATGATTAAGAAAATAATTTATATCTTGGGAATTGGCATTGGGGAATTCTTTGATAATTATAATTGAGAAGGACATAAATATGCACTGCCTAATTCAGGAGACAGTCAGGCTTCCATATTCTCTGCTCAGATGAATACATTCATTTTCTTCTGAATCACTCAGACTTGATGAGATAAAAATTACCTTGTATATAATATATATATATATTATAAATATTGTGTGTTTTGTTTTAAGCAGAAGTCTAGGACATAGGAAAATGGAATGCATCAAAGAAATATCAAAAATGAGTACTCAGTTTCAATAAATATATATCTTGAGTGCTTACTGATCTCTAGACATTACTCTGTCACTGGGGACAAGCTGTGGTCCCCAACCCTTAGGAGCTTGAAGTGTAGTGGAGAACAGAAATTAATATTACAAATAATGTAATACAATATGCTAAAGACTTTGATGCTACATAAATAAGCCTCTGAACTCACTGGAAGCTTACCTGGAGTTTACCCCTAGGTAATTTTAAGTCATACCATGATACATTCTAGGCAGAAGAGGATCAGATTTTTGTAGAGTCTACAGCTCAAACAATTTGACTATGCTCTTTAAGGAAAATAATATAAATCTACCTTACTTTTGTTTTTTGGTTTTTTTTTAAGATTTACCCCCTTCATTTAAGAGAGAGAGAGTGCATGAGCAGGGGGGAGAAGCAGAGGGAGAAAAGCAGTCTCCCCAAGCAGAGCCCAACGTGGGGCTCGATCTCATGATCCATGAGATCATGACCTGAGATGAAATTAAGATTTGGACACTAAACTGACTGAGCCACCCAGGCACCCCTTCCTTGCTTTTTTAAGTTTAACAGAAACATGATACTTCCAGGGTCTTGGAAGGGCCATTTTGGACAATGTCATCTCCTGCATTTCTCCACCCAAGGCCACAGGCTGAGCTCCTCTCCTCCTGGGGGTCCAATTCTTCCCAGAGGAGGAGCAACCCTCCTTATCACGATCTTGGGACCTTGGAGCACTTTTCACTGAGAGGTAGAAGATTAATGAAATTGTGAGGTCAGAAACCATGTCTTAGTTTTCTGAATTGGATAGACAAGATTATAATATTTTTTAAATTAACCAGAAAAGATTATATTTAAACAGGCTTCCAGATCAAGGAAGGACAACAGGAAAACTGACAACAATGGATTGTGTTTGGGACTTACTGAAGTCCTCTGTAGTTATAGGTAAAGTTTTAAACTTTCCAATTTTAGTAACATGAACAAAGCATACACAAACATCTTAGATGATTAAAACGGATACTTACTTTTTTAATGTGATGTATGGTTCCAACTAGTTAAGTCTATAATCCTCCATTTTATTTTTCTTGGTTTAGCCTAAAAGTGTATTTTTAACATATTCTAACTTCTAAAGGATGTGGAACATGAAAGTACTTTGGGTTGCTGCAAATTCAGCTAAAAAAGCACTTTTACATAAAGAAAATAGATGGGTAAGAAAGTTCAACATCAGATCTGAGAGCTGGCTTGCTTGGCTTAAAAAAAAAAAAATCCTTATTCAAGAAAACTGTAGCATCTGCAGAATCCTTACGGCTTCTGTCTGCTGTAAAATATATTAAATTTAATTGAAACCCCCAAAGGAAAGGATGTTGGAAAAATCCAAGAGAATATGCTTGTACTTTCATACTTAAAAAATATAAATCAGAATCCCAAAATAGGAATTTCTGAGTGGGGTTTTTGCAGTATATGGAAAACGTTTCTACCAATCAGCTTTAAATCTTTAGGAGCAAGTCAGTTTAGCTGTATGGTTTCTTATTAGATCCTCATTTATTTAGTATTTAAAACTATTTTTAAAAAGAAAACTTATAAAGGTGCATTGCATGATTGTTTCTATGATTTAAAAAATACATATAAAAGGTGGTAGAAAAATACTAACCCAGGTTTTCCCCAGAGTGTTGCCTTTTGTGAAGCTTAAATTTTGATAAATGAGCTAGCAGGAGGGCGCCTGGGTGGCTCAGTTGGTTAAGCGACTGCCTTCGGCTCAGGTCATGATCCTGGAGTCCCTGGATCGAGTCCCGCATCGGGCTTCCTGCTCGGCAGGGAGTCTGCTTCGTCCTCTGACCCTATCCCCTCTCAGGTGTTCTCTCTCTCTCATTATCTCTCTCTCAAATAAATAAATAAAAATCTTAAAAAAAAATGAGCTAGCAGGAAAAAGAAATGATCAAACTATAATTTGGTTAAGCTTCTGTAGGCTTACTCTTCTTAGTAGTGCCAGGCCCAATTCGCCATCAAATTTAGGAAATACAGTAATAGTCATGACTTTCCATTGTGTAGTTGTCTAGATCTTATAATTATTTTCAATAGTCTAATAAGGGGGAAAAGAGAAAAACACTGAAATCTTTCTACTGACAACAAAAATGTTAGCTAAGACCCATAATGACTAAGGGAGATGTAATATATAGAAAAGATCCCTTTTGTTCGTGGGAAGAAAAAAGTAAAACATCAGAAAAACAAGAAATGACCCATCCCCCCTTCAAAAAATTTAATAGTGGAGACAGAGTGTGTTAGAAATCAGGAATCAGCTGTTGGTGTAGAAAGCATACTGCAGCGTGGGGGTCTACAAGAAGTCTCTGTTGAGAACACCCAGAGGTAATGAGAGAAAAAAAATCCCACTGGGAGAGAATGTTCTGGAAACATCTAGGCTATGAGCAAACACCTCTTGCCACTCAGTGACCTCTAAATGCGTCACTACTTTACAGCGTGATATTCCCATGACATCAAGAATTAAGGAAAGTGGCCAGATTCTACTCTTTTTACACTTTCTATATTAACATCAGGAATTGTAGTTTACACCTGTAGAAGAGTTTTTCGGTTATAAAACTATTGCAAAATTCATACCCAGGGGCACCTGCGTGCCTCAGTCAGTTGAGCCTCAGATTTTTGGTTTCGGCTCAGGTCATGATCTCAGAGTCCTGAGTTCGAGTCCCACATCGGGCTCCATGCTCAGTTGGAAGTCTGCTTGAGATTCTCTCTCTGTTTCCCTCTGCCCCACCCCCCACTTTCTCTCTCTCTCTCTCTAAAATAAATAAAGATATCTTTTTAAAAAATTCACACCCAGACTCCAGCGCCCCTTTGTGAGCATCTCCCGTGCAGTTTGTAACTAGAAAGTGTGTTTCCAGCCCTGGGTATAATCAGGACGAGCCAGAAACATCGCAGAACATCTAGAGCTAGAAGTTGAGTTTGTTGCCTTTTGTTGCCTCCTGCTAAGAATGCCCCATTATTACCCAAGAATTACATTTTAAAAAATTATAAGGCATTCATGCATTTTTATGATTGAGCAAATGAATGCCGTCTAGCCTACCTTCCAAATGATAAACATACCCCCTCACCTAAGACCGGAAAGAGCTACAGGATATTTGCCCTAGGCTGCTCCTCCTCGAATTTCACAGAGCATTCCTCTTTCTGACTTGCAGGGCAAATCCTCGGAATTTTAATTTTGACAATGTGGGAAATGCTATGCTGGCATTGTTTGAAGTGCTCTCCCTGAAAGGCTGGGTAGAAGTGAGGGATGTTATTATTCATCGTGTGGGGCCGGTAAGCAAGCACATGGAATCCTTTGAATGCTCAACAGCTGCTTTCCTTTGCTTTGATGAATAACCGTGTTTTTCATTTATACAGATGCATGGGATCTATATTCATGTTTTTGTATTCCTGGGTTGCATGATTGGACTGACCCTTTTTGTTGGAGTAGTTATTGCTAATTTCAATGAAAACAAGGTAAGCATTCTTGGTTTGAATACCGCAGGGTTTATTCCGTTCTAGCCACTTGCTTTGAGCTCTCTTTTTCTCCCACGGCATGAAGTCGCATTCAACCCCTAATGTGACTGGTGTAAATAATCTCTATAACTATTTGACAAGCTACCTCATCTCTGCCTTTCAGGCACACTATTTAAGAGCACGGTTCTCTTGCTAAATTTCCCCTTTTGGTAATGGTATCATTAATTCACTGACAACTGAAAGGCACATCTCCTGTTGTTCAAACGGAAAGGAGGGGCAGCAAGTTATGAAAATACAAGCTGAACTAAGGGACGCGCTGATGGCAGGTAATATTAACTTTCACACAATGTAAATTGGATGCTTTGTAACTCCAGAGGTGAACTCGGCATTTTGATGGGGCTGGGGGTGCAGGAAAAAATGTTCAATCCCAATTCACTGAATAAAAAGAAGATTTTCTAATTTCAGAGAAGAAATTTACATACTTTATGAACTCGGGAAACATTCTGAGATCATAACAGCTCTAATGATCAGTACAAGAGCTCCCAAATGGGAAAATGGCCAGCATAGTTTCCTGTCAAAAAGTGAGTTTGGGGGGAGAACATTCGACGTCATTCTTCTGGACATGGCTGACATGCCCCCTATTATGTAAGGGTCCAGTCTTCTGGAATCTTAATAATCGAGGTGCATACAGCTTTCGAGCACTTACTATGCACTAAGGTTGACATATGCTGTTTTCAATTCTCTCGACTCTGAAATGCACAGTGGAAGCGAAAACAGCTTACAGAGGTGACATAACTTGTCTGGGGCTTTTAAGGTGTAGAAAAGCCAGGTCCAGAATTCAGAAGTGGTGCCGACTCTGCAGACAGTCTGAGAGTCTTCCAATTCAAGAGTATAAAAATGTCGACCGTTGCCCTGCAGTGAATGAAAGCTAGACGTGCCGCACAGCACCGTGCTGCTCCTGGGATTCAGGGCTGGTACCGAATCGCACACAGCCACATCAGAGCCTGCTGGCGAGGGCAGCTTTACCTGGGACTCTATCATTCACGGCCCCCCCCAGGCTCCACACGTGTGGTTCCAGCTACTCAGTCAATTGCCACCTTTGATGTGTGCCTAATGAGGACCTCATTTCGTCCGGGCTTTCAAAGGGTGTGACTTAAAAATCCCCCTTTGGGTCCCAACACTACTCCGACCCACAGAAACATGGGATTTTAGTGTAAGAAAGGAGGATAGAGAGAGATCATATTGCCCAGCCCCCTATTTTACTATAACACATTCATAAATGAGTGTCTTTAAGCCCTACAGTGTGTTCAATTTAATACCAAGCAGAAGGAGGAAGATAGGTCTCTTTAGATGCCTTTGAGCCCTGCGCTAGAGCAGACACCGGGGATTCCTGAGTAAGAGCAGAAGCCAGTCAGTCAGTTAACAGAGAGCTTAGGCTCTGCTTGCTCAGAACACCGTGCTAGGCCCTCTGAGCAGACACCTGGTTTCAGGAGAATCAGGTCCTGATTTCAGAAGAATCAAATCAGCGACATAAATGCAACAACATAGATGTTCAACAACTAGAGACGAATATATAATCAATCGCAGCTCTTGAACTTAGAGGAATGGCTAAGTAAGCAGGGTGTCGGGAGGTTTACTCACAGTACCAGTTGTATTTCTGTTCTGAGGGAAGAAAGAAGCATCTTGGCTTGGTAAGGGGAATGTGGACATAAGCTCAAGTGTGTGCTTAGAGAAAGAGGGAAAGTAGAAGAAATGACATTACCAGACATTACAAACTTGATTATTTAGTTGGAGATCCAAATTTCTGAATTATATGAACCATTTAGAAGAGATCTTTTTTTTCTGTAAGCTTTTCAGAGGGTAGTACGTGAGCTGCTGTATAACAGCATTTATTCATTTATCATTCAGTCATTCGACAGATTTCTTTGAGCACTTACTGGTGCCAGACACTGCTCTTGACCCTGGGGATACAAGAAGCTAAACACACGAACTAAACACTAAACACATAAAGATTTCTGCCCTCCTGGAGCTCACATGCTAATGGTCATATCCAAAGGTATGTGAGCAGATTTCCAAATATATAGGCAGTGGGGAAATATAAAGATATGGGAAATAAGGCAAGCTTTGGGGGCAATGTTTTCACAATTCAGAATTATGGAAAATTATGTCTTCCCTAGAAAATGGAACCCTGTCTAAAAAGTTCAAAGTCTATACTAGTAATATATGTATTTTTAATTTCTTGATTATAACAGTTTGATTAATAAACTTAATTTCACAATAATAAGCTTTCAGAGGTTTTCAGGTATTAATGAACAGATGATACCACCATGCTTATTAGTCTTTTGGATCATTTCAGAGTTCAACTTTCTAAAATAATTTGTTTTGTATAATTAAGGAATAATATGAATGTGTGTTACACCCAGAGAACCCAAAGTATTTGTTTGCAGTTAGTGAGAAAAATGGTTTAGCAATACTAATATTAGAAAAATTAACTTAAAACAAATACCATTATTAGGAATAAACAGTGTAATTAAATAATTCCAAAAGAAGCTAATCCCTAGCGAAGTATAGAACTCCTGAACCATAAAATATATGAAGAAAAAATGATCCAAATTATTTTAAAAACCTAGCAAGTCCAAATCATAGTGAAAGATAGTAACATACTTCTCTAAGAAACTCGTAGACAGAAAAAAAAAGAAAATATGAGATTTGACACAATAAAAACATTTGATCTACTGGACATAAAAAGAACCCTGACCCCAGTAATTTTCAAGTATAAAATGTACCCTCTACAAGGTCATAAAATAATACCAAAAAATTGATAATGTACAGAGCGCATTCTCTACAATAATAAAAAAAGATGACAAAAATCCCTCATAAGTTGAAGATGTTAAGACAACATTCTGAATAATTTATGAGTCACTGAAGAAATCAATAGAAAAGCACAAGTCATTTAGATAAATCATTTATAAAAATCATAGATGAAAGCTCGCAAGATACAGGTAAATCAGTAGAGGGAAATTTACAACTATAAGTGTACATTTTTTTAAAAAATCAAAGATTAATTAATTAGTAATATGTCACATATCCAAATCAATAAATTATAATAAGAACAACAAAGTAAAATGGAAGAAAGTAACAAAGATAAGGACAAAAATTAATTATATAGAAAACAAAGATACGATAAAAGATTCAAGAATGACAAAAACAGATTCTTTAAAAAAATTAAATTGATAAACCTCTCTCAAGGTTAAGCATGAACAAAAATGTGGAAAAGGAAAATAAACAAGCTATAGTGAGTCAAACAGGTTAGGTAATGATACAAGGACAGAAAGTTAAACTTACAGAACAAAACCGAAAGTCATAGGAGGCACAGGTATATGTAAAACAGAAGTAGCACAACAAATCAGTGGAGAAGATGAGACCATCAGTAAGTGACGCTGGGGTCATTGAGTGTCTAGATAGAAGAAACTAAACAGAGATCTCTACCTCACAGCATACTCAGAAATGAATTCCAGAAGAATGAAAGACCTAGCTATGAAAAACCATTTGTCAACCATGTAGAATTTATTTTTGACCCTGCCGTAGTTTTGGATTTCTTGACTTTAACCACAAATTGGAATCCATAAAGAAAGAAATTTATAGGGCGCCTGGGTGGCTCAGTTGGTTAAGCGACTGCCTTCGGCTCAGGTCATGATCCTGGAGTCCCGGGATCGAGTCCCGCATCGGGCTCCCTGCTCGGCAGGGAGTCTGCTTCTCCCTCTGACCCTCCTCCCTCTCATGCTCTCTGTCTCTCATTCTCTCTCTCAAATAAATAAATAAAATCTTAAAAAAAAAAATTCAAAAAAAAAAATTTAAAAAAAAAAAAGAAAGAAATTTATAGATTAGGTTACATTAAAATGAAAAGTTTCTGAGAGATAAGAGACGTGATAAGCAAAATTTTTTTTAAAAAGCATGCTAAGACTAAGAGGAAATATTTACAACTCATATAACTGACAGAAGATTAATATCCAGAATATATTAAGAATTTCTATAACACATCTGAAAGTAAATATCCAAATACAAAAATGAGCAAAGACTATGAACAGGCAATTCACATAGGAAGATACAGAAATCACTCCCCCATTTATACACATAAAAAATGTTTCATCTCACTGATATTAGAACTAAATTACATACATTTCCCACCCATTGTGGCCAAATTTAAATGTCTGATAATATCAAGTATTGGCAAGAATATTAGGACATGAATACTTGGAGATTGCTAGCAGCAAATTTTCTTGGTTATTCCTCTTTGGACAGTAACTTCACAATATCTGAAAAACATAGAGATGCATAAATCCCTAACCCCAGCAATTCCTCTCCTAGAGATTTGCTATCAAGAAAGTCTCATAGATGTTCACCATGAGGTAATACATGTGTGCTTACTGCAACATTTTTATAGTAATATAAACCTAACTTCTGATATATTTGTACAGTGAGATACTCTGAACAGTTAAACCAATTAGGTCTAGTGTCTAGTTGTATGCACAACATAGTGTTCAGTGAAGATAAAAACAAACTGCATAAATAAGCACAGATTGGATACCATTTATATAAATTTTTGAAATTCAAAACAAATATGTTCTTATGCATTGATACATACACAAACAGTAAAATCTGAAAACATCGTGAGGGGGACATACTCTTGAAGGACAGTAATTAGCTCTGTAGAAATAAAGGAAGAATGGGAGTGGGGGGTGGGTGGGGTTTTTTTTTTTCCAGTTCTGCCTGTATAATATAGCATAATAAAATGTTATGCAATATAATATATATGGATATAGCATTTTAATGAAGTACTCCTATATATATGCACACACATATATATAATTAATAATATTTTATCTCATTTAGACATTTGTCACAGCATTAATTCTTCAAGATTCAAATTCTGTGACTTCATATCACTTGAAAATAGTTTTTTTATTATATGTATCAGAATGATTTAAAAAAAAAAAAAGGACACAATCACCTTAACCAGAAGCAACAGATAGACAAGCTACAGTTTTGCTGCAGCATTTCCCACAATGAAACGAAAGGAAACTAACCACTTATTAGAGTGGGTATCCCTTTTTGAAAATTTGATTGTGTAGAGAACCTTCTTTAGATTTTCCCAAACCTGAATATTATACATCTTCAAAGATGCCAGTTGAAGACCACCCTTTTGGGGACTCCTCTTAAGACCACATTTGAGAATTCTGACCATGCCTATCGAACCATCATGGTATTTGAAGAATATCTTTATTTCACACCCCCAAATTAGTCCTGTTGGTATCACCACCCCATTTGCAATGTCCTCAGTGTGGAGTAGACGACATAAGGCCTTTTTCTGCTTTCCTTTGTTTATTAAGGGGACAGCTCTGCTGACTGTAGATCAGAGAAGATGGGAAGATCTGAAGAGCCGACTGAAGATAGCACAGCCTCTTCATCTCCCACCTCGCCCGGGTATCAAAGATGCTCTGATTTTATTCATGTTGGGCACCAGTGTTCGTGATTCCCCAGGAGTCTAAGATTTCAATTAAAATAATAATCATGAGGCCACTAGGCGGTTGTGCATAAGTTAATATAGAAACAGGCTCCAAACTACAGATCTCTCCATAGGCTATTAAAATCAACCACCCAAAGGCTGTGCTTCAGTGCTCTCAGGATAAGCCCTAATGAAAAAATGAATTTTTAAATAAAATATATTTGTGCTTGCCTTTTAAACATATGAGTGAAATGTATTAAACTGACAGAAATTGAATGATGCGGTTCTCCTTCCAATACGGACGGTGTCATGCACCATCGTTCTAAATATTCAGAACCAGCCATTCCTGCAAAACACCACACAGTAGATTGAACTATAGGGGCAAAAAAAGTAATGAGTTTTAAAATGAGCATTAAAGGAAATGAAAGACAAGTAAATGTGACCTATGTCTGAAATGCCCTTGCCTCAACCTCTCTTTTGCAGATAATGATGGTTTTAGAGCTAAGATGTATGACATAACCCAGCATCCATTCTTTAAGAGGACAATTGCATTGCTTGTCCTGGCCCAGTCGGTGCTGCTGTCCGTCAAGGTACTTTTCTTTCACGCTGAAACTCTGGGAAGGACTTGTTTGTTCATTGGTGCATCCAAGAATATCGCAAGGGGCCATATCCGTTCACAGTCTATGTTTTTTAAAAAAATTAAAATTCACAGTCATGTTCTAATGAGAGAAAGAGAGGAAGGTCTTGATGTGTCAGATGGATGCAGACAAAGACCAGTGTGCTGTTTGTCTTACAGTGGGACGTGGAGGACCCAGTGACCGTTCCTTTAGCAACAATGTCGGTTGTTTTCACCTTCATCTTCGTTCTAGAGGTACGGTAATGAGCCAGCAGGCCCTGGGGGCTGCAGTGGGCATTGCAAAGTAGAGCAGTGTCCTCCTTTGATAGCACCCATGTTCAGCTCTGTGTTCCATTGTTTTTGAAGTTTTTTTGTGGGGGAGAGGGGTGGCATGCTCATAAGATATTTTCCTTTTGGGGCTGTGAACAAAGATTTCACTTTATATGTCAGATTTGCCTAACGGCAGAAATCGCTAACTGCTGTTGACTGTTGTATCTGAATGTTGGCCTGTCTGGTTATGTGAGTTCAAATATTTGTAGCGAACTGCACATACCGCTGTAATTCAGGGACTCAAATCGCAATGTTGTGGCCAAGGGAGTTAGCCCAGAAAGGATTATTTTAATATATGGTCTGTATAATATCACTTTCCAGCGTAATCTTTGAAATACAAGCAGATTCTTATTTCACCCTGTACGGGTTGATGTTTCCCAAAATCAATGGTCTTTTACTTGAGGAAGAAAAACGTCCTGCTATCAGAACTAGTCGTAAAACAAGGAGAAAAGAGCCTGGAGAATACAGATTTGTAACCTACCGAGCTTTAAAATTTAGATAGATAGATCTATTTCTATATCTCTGTATCTTTATCTATCTATCTATCTCTTGGTAATAAATTCTTCTCTTGGTTCCTACCTCCTTTTAAAAATGTGCCTCAAATCCACACATTTAAATATATGCTGCACACTCAGCTTCTGTTTACTGTCTTCCTTATCTTCCCCTAGGTTACGATGAAGATCATAGCAATGTCACCTGCCGGCTTCTGGCAAAGCAGAAGAAACCGATATGACCTGCTGGTGACGTCGCTTGGCGTGGTCTGGGTGGTACTTCACTTTGCCCTCCTGGTATGCATATAATTCAAGTTTATTTTAGTTGATAACTTGGGTTCCGGTAACCCTGTTTCCGGTCTCATTTCAGTCCATGTCAGCCTACCCTCAAGTGTCAGATTAACCTCCCTACATCCATCCTTGCCCGTGACGGGCCCTCAGGCGAGCTTGTGCACACAACTCCCCACACTCTTCCCACAGACAAAATCTGGCCCTTCGGAGTCCTAGAGTGGGTGAATCAGAAGAAGAACCTTTAAGATCTCTGGTTTAACTCTCATTTTCCCAAAGGATAAAAATGAGAGAGAGAGAGACAACAATGGAAACAGAGATTATGAGAACTGCCTAAATTCACATACAAGCTGGTATCAGAAGGCTCAAACCCAGTTTTCGGAACTGAAGTGTAGCATCCGTGCCGCTACGTTCTACTCAGTATTTCACAGTGGGATTCTCAGGCACTTTTGCTGCCTTATTTCCTACTGACATCCAGCTGCCATTTCTCTAAAACCCATCATTCCCAGTGTCTATACGTGAGTTCTCACTAGTTTGCCTAAAATGCCTCCACCCTCCATGTAGTCTGAGGGCCAGCTCAAAATCTATACCCGTGGGTGTGCTTGACTGAGATCTAGAACTGTGTTGCCCAATAAGAACGAAATGTGGCCATGGATATAATTTCAAATATTCTAGGAGCCACATTAAAAAAATAAAAAAGGAACAGATGATGTTAACTTAATAATGTATGTTAACCTACCATATCCAAAATATTATCATTTTAACATGTCAGCAATATAAAAATTACTCAGGAGAGAGATTACATCCCTTTTTTGTACTAAATCTTTGAGTGTGTGTTTTACATTTATAGCACATCTTAATTTAGACTCACTGCATCTCAAGGGTTCAGTAACCACATGTGGCTGGTGGCTGCCATACTGGACAGCAGAGCTCTAGACGGCCCTACTCTGGGCTCCACCATTTTCCAGCCTCGATCAGGTTATTTGTCATCAGTGATCCTTTGTTCCCTGCTATGAACTTGGGGATATGAACTTCATAATTTATCCATTCCGTATGAGCATTATAAAGATCAAGCACGTGAAGTTCTTCTAACTGTAAAGAGTATACAAACTCATAACACATTCTTATAAGTACCTTCTTTTTTTAGTCTTCTTTGATCCCAGACATAAATAATGTTATCAGATTTCCCTGCTCTCTTCTATCCATTCTCCGATCCTCTCCAACGTTAGAGTCACACCAGAAAAGATCCATCACACCCAGAACCCATTTACACATTACAGAGGGCGTGCTTTCGTATGAAATTGCTGTGCTCCGGCAGGTAGGTATTGAGTGTACTTCTTAAAACAACTGTCACTTCAGTGTCAGGGGCTGTGCCGAGCCTTGGTGGGCTCTCAGTCACCCTGATCCATTTCCTCCAACGATAAATGGTTTTGATCACTAAAGATGTGCAAGTCACCATGCTGGGAATGGGGAAGAATGCAGTGAACAAAACAAAGGCATGTTTTGTTTTATTTTAAAGTTTTAAGGCAGAATATTTAGTCATGATCAAGAGGTTGGGGGGACTTTGGGACAGCTGCAGGTAGGCATTCATGGAAGGCTCCCAAGTCAATGACAGTTATAGCCATAGTGAGGCAGATGGAGGAGAGACACATATTCTTGGGATGACACAAGGTAGTGGGAGGTGGCTTCATCAGAGAGGTCCTAGAAACTGTCCCTACAGAAGTGATGGCTACTGGGTTCAGTCTGTAGGACGAGGGGCATGTCAGCAGCTGTCCCTATGCTGGAACACTGCGGGAGGGAAACAGTGCCTGGAGTAGAAGGAGCAAGGGAAACACGGCACGAGATCTGGATGGCACCTCTCAGGACCCGGCAAAGGATGGGGGTCATCCTCGTAGAAGCCATTGGGTGTCGTCACTTCCAGAATGCAAGGTGAGAAGCCATCTATAACAGATTTGCAGCCAGGTCCATGTTTTTATCTTTCCCTAGACAAATGGAGCCAAAAGCTACTTGGTCCAAGCAGAAGAGTAGAGCAGGCTTCCTAATTCCAGATGTCCTAGAGAGGACATCTCACACCAAAAAGACCAACTGGCCTGTTCTCCCTGACCACTTTTGTTCTCCTGAAGAACCTCCAGTTCTGGAAGGATGCTCATCCTCCATGCAATTTTGCAGTGGTCTATTGTGAAGGAAGATGCAGTCCTTGTTCCCATCCAAAGTTATTTCTATGTAGACACATTCAATTCCTTCTACCTCAAGAATATCACCAGACCCCCTTCCCGGGGGCCCATATGTGACTGTTGTCACTTGGCTAGGCAAGGCTCCTCGAGAAAAATCATGCTTTGGCATGAGTTTAATGCCACAGTTGTTATTGCGGTTCTAGCTGATGGGCTCTTTGTTTCCGAGATGAAGCTTTCTTAGTCATAAAGCAGACCCAGTCATCCCTTGCTGCCAATTGCATACTTGAAGAATGAGCTGGATGTGTTTCTGGGCAGGGTAGACATCTCTGAAATCGGCTTACAGGAATGTGGCTGGCTGGTCTCCAGAGTCTCCAGAGACCTACAGAGAGGGGAAAGCTGACTTCCCACCATCTTTTCCAACACCACACCTCCCCCTTTGCCAGGACTCCTGCATTTCCGGTCTCACTTGGCTTCCTCATGTTGCCTTGGTACCCTAAGTTTTTCTTGCTCCTCAAAGGAGCTGGTCGCTATTTTATGTAAAATAAGTTTTAAAATACAGAATTCAGCTGAGCAAAACAGGGAGCGAAGTTTCATTTAAGATTTGATTTTATAGCTAATATTTATTCATGAGTTTTGGCAGTGACCTTTTCAACACCTTTTAAAGATAAATTTCTTATAAGAATTTCACATTTTATTAAACTAATTACTCAGTAGACTTCACAGAAGACTTAAAATGAAAACTGGAACTGTAACAAGATCTTTTGTGCACATTATGAGTGGCTCTCTTCTTTTTAAATTTCAGAACGCATATACCTACATGATGGGTGCCTGCGTGATTGTCTTCCGGTTTTTCTCTATCTGTGGAAAGCATGTGAGTACATTGTAAAGGATACTATCAAAGGTTACATATACACAGAAAAAAAGAGTGAAGCCTAATTGACTTCAGCTGTCCTTCTCGGTCTTGGAAGTTAACAAATTGCTGGTCATCCTAAGTCCAAATGAGCAAATATTAAATATTAAAATGAATCAGTAGCTTAGTTATCTTGAGATATGTTTCCTGATATTTATGTTGTTTTATTTATTCTTCATATTTGCTAGATGAACTCAATCATCAACTAAAGATAACATACTGGGCATGAAAGCAAAAGCCAATGGTTTTCCTTAATACTTCTTTATTTTTATTGTTTTTATTTGTAATAAAGTTATTTTACTGCAAAGAAAAATAATCTTTAATGAAGCTTCATGATTCTGTGATCCCAGATTTCTTCATATTTTTTCTTGTTCATGCATACACTCAGCATCTATTTGTCATTTTTTAAAGTTGCTTCCTTTTTTATTAGTGACATTATTTCATAAACATTCCATACATGCACATGTTCAGTACATTCAATGTTTGATGCTATTTAGCATTTTGTCATTGTTTAGGCTTGTTTCTGTGAACATCTGTTTGTGGAAGAATCCTGTCTACGTGATGGGATAGGCCAAAAATGGACAGCCCTCCTCATAGAAACTGAGGCAGCAAGAGAAGAGAAAACAGGAAGCTAGGAATTTTAGGGAGGGGCTTTTATTAATTTGGCTGAAAAGGCTGAACAGTTTGAAATACAAGTTGAATTTCTCTCTGTTTTTTTGAATAATATTCAGATTTAATACCCTTTAATAAGAATTAATTCAAAGCAATCGTCAAATGAAGGTCACTCTTGTGCCAACCTGCATACCTGTCATTCACTTCCCAGGTTGGCCCGGTTAAGTGAATTAAATATTCATTTTCCCCTCCCCATCTTCATCTACAGGTAACGCTAAAGATGCTCCTCCTGACTGTAGTCGTCAGCATGTATAAAAGCTTCTTCATCATAGTGGGGATGTTCCTATTGCTCTTATGTTATGCTTTTGCCGGAGTTGTTTTATTTGGTACTGTGAAATATGGAGAGAATATTAACAGGTGGGTGTATATTTATCTTTCTATTCATTTATGAAGCAAACTTTTTTAGTCATGAAATCATGAATAAAAAATCCAAATGACTTTTGCCTGTTGAAGACAAAAGGGAAGGGGGAAGCGATCAGTTGGAAACAAAGACAAAATAAAATGGCCAAATTTTAAATCACATTTTTCTAATTAAAAATAGCCTACATATTGATTTTAGAAACCTTATTTCCATAATACTCCCATAATGTAACACAAATCCATAATTCCAAATCTACCACCATGCAGGAATAACCACTTCTAATATCCTGGCGAATTTCTATCCATCTACTGCCAAAAAACAATACATTCTTTTTTTAATTACACTTTAAAATGACTTTGGGTTTTCCTTTTTCTTTTCTTTTTAAAACAAAACATGGGAAGTCCTAACTCCCAAAATGGTTACTATGTATGAAAAGCATTTTTCAAAGATTATCTTAAATTCTGTGGAAGCGCCTCACAGATGTTTTTTAAAACGTAATTACACAACAAATTAAATACAAATGTGTCTTGTTGCAGATATTACTTACTTGATCCGTGGCAGCTCCGCATTTTATAGCAAACTCCATGTGAACGAAGGAATCACTTTTACTTGTCAAAGCTGGGACCCTCAGTGATTCAAGATGCATGGCCACAGATTGGTGGCACCATGCTAGGGTTGGGTTATTCAGACCACTATGCTTAAGGGCAAGTATGAATAACAAGCAAATTAAGAGGGTATAGCCTTTAGACATGGTAACGTAGCAACCAAATTTGTTCCCAAAGCTACCTGTTTTAGTGGGGACACCTTACTACTTCATGACAAACCATATTACCCACGTTCTGGTTTTTCTTCCTTACATAGGCATGCCAACTTTTCTTCAGCGGGAAAAGCCATCACTGTACTATTCCGAATCGTCACAGGCGAAGACTGGAATAAGATTATGCATGACTGTATGGTAAACTTCTCTTCATCCCTAACAGTGCCTCAACTTAGAACCAAATGAAACTCTTCACTATGCAACATTGGCAAGCGTCATCCTCGTTAGCATCAAGACTTTGTGTACAAAACACATAGCCTGGCCGTTTAGTTCATAAAATTGCATTCTTTTCCATGACAGTGTTTGGATATCCAGTGAACCCAGCTTGAGTTATTGTAGTTCCATTTGGCAATCCGAATTATGTGGACATTGTTCCTTCCCTCCTACCTTTAACATTTTGGCAGTCAAGTACAGCCAGGGGAGTTCTGCTTCTTTAACTGAATTTACTCAACAGATATTCCCTGAGCGCCTGGTTTATACTGGGCACTGTGCTAGGTGCTAGGTCTCCCATGATTCCAGGGCATGCTCAAGGAGCTTACAGCCAGGCTCGGAGTTACACCATCCCCTTGGTTCCTCTCTCCTCCTCGCTGCCCCTCCCATCTCCAGTGCAACGTGGGCTCCATCAGGAGTCCCGCCCCACGCTAAGACTGCGGTGATATGTTCCTACAGCACTCTGTGTTTCTCCTTTGTAGCGTGTATCCCAACTGTAGTGAGTTACTCACTTGATTATTTCATCTCTGTTTCCTCTCTCACAACCTCAAGAACAACGCTGTCCAGGAGAAATTTCGGCAATGCTGCTGGCAATCTGCTCTTTCCCATTCAGTAGCCCTATGTGGTTACTGAGCCCCTGAAATGTGACTAGTGCACCTGAGCAACTGAATTCTAAATTTTATCTAACAGTGTTTGATGTTCATTAACGTACATTTACATTTTAACAGCCACACGCAGTCCGTGGCTCCCATCGAGCTCTAGACCAGCAGCAACATGAAGGAGGGACAGAGTCTATGTCTTGCTTAGGCTTGTCTGTCTCCAACACTGGGTAGAAATCTAGCACATAGTAGGAGCTAAAGAACTCTATGTGTGAATGAACAGGGACAGAATTTACCGAATCAGATATAATAGAAGGCAGGATTAAATAAGTTCTAAATGAAGAACAAGCAGAGTGCTATGGGAATGTAGTCTCTCTGGCTGAAAGAGACCAGGTCTCTCAGAGGTGTTGGCATTTTATTGGGCCACTGAGGACAGGGAGGCTTTTGATAACCTGAGCCTTGTGCTCTTCTGTAATGTCCCAGAAATGTGCTCCAGGAATGAGGATTACTGGTTTCTTCTTACACAGTTTGAATGTGAGTCTGCTACGTATAACAAATCTTCATAAATCTTAACCCATTAGTTAGGTCAGAGAAGTCTTTTAGATGCCTTTTTCTTTGACTTTGTGTAGTTCCCATCAGAGTGACTACTTAGCATTCAGGACTAGTGGAGGTGACAGAAAGAATGTCTCTTGGAAGAAACCGGTTCATTTTCATTGTGCTTCTAAAATGGCAATGAACTTGGGATTCTCCGAGACTGGAAGTGTAGAATAAATGAAATATTCTTTTTGATTTTTGCCACAGGTGATGTACTCAATGTATGTGGCTTCTGAGAGACTAACTTTGAAATTAGTTATATTTTCTGTGCGGAGGAATAGTTCCCTCACTTCAGCGGATGCACAGAAATTTGTATTCTTCACTCTCATCCCTCCTCCCTGTCCCCTGTGGCCCTGCAGGTCCAGCCTCCCTTTTGCACTCCAGATGAATTCACATACTGGGCAACCGACTGCGGAAATTATGCTGGGGCGCTTATGTATTTCTGTTCATTTTATGTCATCATTGCCTACATCATGCTAAATCTGCTTGTAGGTAAGTGATGTTCATTGAATATGTTTTAATATCCTTAAGCTCAGGTACTTAGATAATTACGTACAATTTGCAAGTAATTATCCCAGATTGCTCGGGGCGGGTGTTTCATGGCATTAATTATAAATTGTTGCCTGTCGATCCAGAAGCTGAAAAGACCTTTGAAAGGCATGTAAATGACAGTTGATTGCAATTTCAAGAGTTGTCCTATTAATTATGATCATTAATTTCAAAAGAGCTCTTCTCAGGGAGGGCTACCTTTAGGGCCTCGAAAGATCACAGGTAAGTTTTTGAAAGATACATGGTGTTCACCCAGGTGTGGGGCCACCCAGAACCCAATCTGACCTTTACAAACTGCCCTGGAACTGTCAACTAAGAGTGAAAGCCAGATGGCATGGATATCTCTACACACAGAAGGTCTGTTTTTGCTCATGACCCTCATGTTTTGGAAAAGGCAGAAGATGGATAAATAGCTTAGTCCAAGTGTAAGATATGCCAACTTGGAAAACACACTAAAAGCACTTTAAAAATTTGGCTTATAATGTAGGGGATAAAATTCATTATTTATAATAGATGTTTTACTCTTTCTAAAAAATGACACATTAGCCTAATTATCTAACTTCTCCACTTTGCTTCTTTCTTTTCTTAGCCATCATTGTGGAGAATTTCTCCTTGTTTTATTCCACAGAGGAGGACCAGCTTCTAAGTTATAACGATCTTCGCCACTTTCAAATCATATGGAATATGGTGGATGATAAACGAGAGGTAGGAAAGGGGGCTGCTTCTTCATGCCCACCCCAAAGAGACTCATTGCTCTCCCTCGACGATTTAACTGGTCTTTTTGTCACCATGGGGACACCTACTGAATTTGGAATGGCCATTGGTGAATTGTAGAAAGCCTCCATTGACTGTTCAGCAGAATATGCTGGGAGGGGAGAGGGACAGAGTGGTCCCCCTCATGTCCTGTCCAACCATGGACGTCCTCTTCTTTGGACATTCAGAAAGTTACCAAGGAAGGGAAACCAAGGAAGCTCTGAAGAAACCGGCACTGGGCTGGGGGCAGGAGAAGGGGTGAGGTTCAATTCACCAGAAGGATGATGTAACACAGAGCCACGGGCAGCCACCAACTGCAATCTTAATTAGTTATTGAGTGGTTTCTGAAAGTTATTATTTTTAAATTTTTTTGGACTTATTATTTGAATGCTTTCATCATAAAGCTTACCCAAGATTTCCTAGAATTAGCCAAAGTAGCAGCACCTTCTTCTGCTGCTCCTCTTCTTCCTCCTTCTTCATCCTAGCAGACACTCGGGTGCTGGGGATATAGCGATGAGCACAATGGAAAGGCCCCCATGCTCGCAGAGCTTCTGTTCTAATAAAAAGTGAAACAATAATTGTAATTATTATTACCTCAAGAAGCTATAAGTACTTTGCAGAAAGTAATAGAGTAGAGATGGGTTGGACTGGGGGGCAGGCCACTTTAGTGGGGTGGTCATGATGGTCTGGCTGTTAGACCCAACCTCTGAAAACCAAGGAAAGTTCAACTGTGGGAAAATCTGGAGGGAAGATCCAAAAATCATTGCAGGAAGAGTTCCCAGAGGGCGTGAAGACCAAGGAGCCAGAACAGGCTGAGGAAAGGGGCATGCCAAGCTAGGCCTGCGTGGCAATGCCCGGTTTCCCCTCCCCTCTGCCCCCCTCTCCCTGACGCCCCCCAGTTCCCCAGGACCAGGCTCAGGGGGCTTTCTCTGAGACAGTGGCCTGCACATGTGGCCATCTGGCCTAGCTCTCCCCTCTCCCCTTGATCCACCTGCAGCCCCAAGATGGCTGCCTGCAGGAACCTGCTTTCCTTGGACATACACGGCAATGAGAGCGCACCACTGGCCACAGGTTAAGGTGTCAGTAACTGACAGGAATTCGTGGGTTGCCCCTGCCCTTGCCTCTTGCCCAAGGCCTGAATCCACAGACGCTAGGTGGTGTTGCCTGTGAGGGAGCAACATGTGTTCGATTTTCAGGACCTGGAGCTGCTCTGACCAGGTTCTCTTGTATGTAATTGTTCTAATTATGGAGAAGACCTGAACGGGAGTGACGATTCCCTGGAAGAACCACTCAGAATAAGCGTTTAGAAGTTTGTGGCATCCGGGCGAAGTGAAGAGGAGGATCGTGTACATGGGAATGTTCTGCTTTTTTGTGCTAACACATTACCAACCCACTCAGCATGTGTTTTCGAGAAACAGATGAGCAGGGGCTGAGTCAGTGAAACAGGCGGGAGAAGGGGAGGCTGGCAAAGCAAAGGCTGAGGCCAGGGAGGTAGAGGGCCTGCTTGGTACCCTGCTAGGCTCCCAGGGCTGCCAGGCTCTGAGATCCCACAGACCCGGGGATGCTCCGGCAGAAAATCCAAGGGCTCAGCTTTCAGTCTGGTGCTCCTCTCAGGCACACAGCCTCACCCAGCCTCCGGGGAGGCCAACAACTTCCTTGCTACCTATCTTTTGAGAAAAAAATCTGGTGTTCTGGGTGGTTTTTGTTTTTTGTTGGGTTTTTTTTTTTCTGTGAAAACAGAATCCCAAGTGAATCATTACGGCCTGAAGATGATTTACCAGTCACTGTGTTCTGCCCGCCAGGGGGTGATTCCGACTTTCCGGGTAAAGTTCCTGCTGAGGCTGCTGCGGGGGAGGCTGGAGGTGGATCTGGACAAAGACAAGCTCCTGTTTAAGCACATGTGCTACGAAATGGAAAGGCTGCATAATGGTGGTGACGTCACTTTCCATGACGTCCTCAGGTACGAAGGGGTCTTCCCAGCTGCGTGTCACAGAGCTGACCCGGGTCCAGAACCTGAAGCATGGCCGTTCAAGGCCTCGTGAAACACAACCAATAAGGAGGTTCATAAGCCAAGATGCCACACCCCCTGAGGTGATGAGGCGAGGCCGCCCTGCTCGGGCTCCGAGTGGCCTTGTCACTGTCCTATAAGGACCGTGTCTGAGTGAGGGCCTCACACAGGAGCAGGGAGAAGCAGTGGTCTGACGTCCCCAGAACTGCCCCTGACTGACTGGGGAGCTCCTGACGGGGAGAGGTAAGGGGCCTCGGGGAGAGTGGCTGCCCCTCGTTTTGTGAGGAAGGATCTGGTCCCGGAGAGTCATGAGACTTGCTCAGTGACGCAGCCTCGGTGGTCAAGCTGGGGCTAATGGGCAGATCTTCTCACTCGTGAGGCTGCTCTGTGATGGCTGGCCCCGCTTGGATGGCAAACCACATTTTCCATTCCATGAGCACCCAGACAGGACCAAGGGAACAAAATACCATAAACTCAGTGGTTTAAACAAGTGTATTGTTTCATAGTCCTGGAGGCTAGAAGTTTGAATTCAAGGGCTCGGCAGGGCTGGTTCCTTCTGAGGCTGCGAGGGGGAATCTGTTCCAGTTTCTGGGGTTTTGCCCGCCATCTTTGTAGAAACATCACCCCGATCTCTGCCTCCATCTTTGTGTGTGGTTCTCCCCATGTGCACGCGTGTGTATGTGTGTGTGTGTATCCAAGTCTTCCCTTTTATAAGGACACCATTCATATTAGATTAGGGACCCATCCCATTCTGATATGACCTCATCTTAACTAATTACATCTGCAGTGACCTATTTCCAAATACGATCACATTTTGAGGTACTGGAGGTTATGACTCCAACATCTAATTTTTTAGGGGGAAAACAATTCAATCCATAACAGCTTTTTAAACAGGAATCCATGCATAAAATCCTGAGGTCCATGGACTTGGAAATAATCACATCTTTATTTTCATGAATCACTCCCTGAAATGCAGCATTTTCTTCAGTGATGAATGCAGGCAACAAACCACAGCCATGTTAACAATACGTGCGTCTTTGTCACCAGCAGAAATCACAGATATTTTCAGAGCACATCTCTGACATGGCTGATAGCTTAGATATCCTTTACACTCACCAGCACTTCTAAGTTATAGTGGTCATTTGACCTCAGCTAGATGTTAATATTTAAAGCAATAATAAAGAAGCATTTATGTTACTATGTCACCATCTTGTTAAACATTTTCTAAAATTAATTTTATTTCTTTTTTTATCGACGTAGAGTTGACACAATATTACACTGGTTCCAGGTGTACAACACAGGGACTCAACAACTCTGTATGTTATGCTATGCTCACCGCAAGAGTAGGTAACCCCAGTCACCAAGCAACACCATTACAGCATCATTGGCTATATTCCCTATGCTGTACTTTTCATCCCAGTGACTTGCTCATTCCAACACCAGAAACCTGTGCCTCCCACTCCCCTTCATCCCCTTTGTCCATCCTCCCAGCCCCCTCCCTGCTGGCAACCACCAGTTTGCTCTCTGTATTTATGGGTCTGCCTCTGCTTTGTTTGTTTCATTTTTTAGATTCCACATGTAAGTGAAATCACATGGTATCTGTCTTTCTCTGTCTGGTTTATTTCACTTAGCATAATACCCTCTAGGTCCATTCACGTTGTCACAAATAGTAAGATCTCATTCTTTTTTTATGGCTGAGAAATATTCCAGTGTATAGATACTACATCTTCTTTATCCATTCTGTCATCACCTTTTTAAAGAAGATATGAGAACCGTATTTCAATAGAGTTGGTTTCCTTTGTAATCATATGTATTTTATTTTATGCATTTCAAAGTTCTTCTAGGAAAAGTCCCATAGGCTCCACTCTCAAAGAGGCCCACCCACGGGAAAAGCCAAGGCCCTCCTCTAGCAGCAGCTGTTTTCATCAGGCTGCACGGACCTGACAGGTCAAGTGTTGGGTGTGGTGGCTCACATTCAGCAGCATCAGGTGGACAGAAATACACTTGTGACTGAAATTTGAAAAAAAGATCAGAACAGGAAGGACCTGGGAGAAGTTCTTGCAAGTTAATTGTTTTACTTCCCGCTATTCACTTCTCCCAGGAGCAAGCTAAAGGGCAGAAAAAGAGGCACAAAATACGTGTGATTAGCAAAGGATGCCATCTCTCTCAGAATGTCACCAAGTCGTTCCTCCTGGTGACAAATATTTTTAGGCTGAAAGCGAAGCACGGAGACAGACTGCTGTCATGAGCAATTATCATTCAGCCTCTCTGGAAGCCAGTGAGGCATCTGATGAAGTGGATCCAGGCGAAGCCAATGGGGGCATCCCTTGCCCCTCCCTGTCCCTATAGCTCAGTAAATGATGAAAACAGTTCGGCAGTGACGAGATTCTGGATGAGGCAGGGACGAGAGGAAGAGCAAACACGTTTCCTTCCTCCGTGGTGGGAAGAGCCTTAGCAAAGAGAAGGTCCCGGTGCTGCCCGGGGAGGCCTCCTGAGCACCTCCATGCTGTGACGTGGGCCACGGAGGTGCCACTGAGCTCACAGACAGGCAGGCGGGGGCTGAGTGCTAACCTGGGGTCGGGTGGGGGCACCGGGGAGCGCCAAGCTGCAGAAAGGGCTGCATTCCCTTTGGCTGTGGACCTCTCAGCCTGGGTACCGTATGAGTGTCTCACTGCCCCGGGGCCCTGAGGAGGCAACCCGTGGGCTGTGCTGGCTTCATCTGCCACTGCCTGGAGCTGTTGTGCCAAGGTCATAATGGGAGCGACTTTGCATCCACCAAAATGAATGAGGAGGATCCAGGGGCACAAATGAGATCAATAGAGAGGGAACTGGGGGGAGGGGAGGGAGCAGGAAGCATGACCTTTGGCCAAGCCTGTTACCCATCCCCTCCTGGACCTGAATGTGACCAAATGTGACCAACGTGTAGAGAGAGCACTCTTCCTTCCAACAGGGAATGTTCCAGAGCCTGAAGCAGCTGATAATGTAGATGAGGGCCCAGCCTGGATCTTTTGTTTTACAAGCACTTACAGGGCACTGACTCCTGTAAACACCTCGCAAGTATTAACTCAGTCCTTTAATAAGGTGGGTATCATGAGTGTCCCCGTCTTACAGAGGAGGTGACATAACTAGCCCATGTCCCCCAGCAAGTCCGGTGGCACAGGGACACTACTGTGGTTGGACTGAGTGATGTGCTCTCTGGAGTTTGAGATATCCACCGGTCAGAGTCCCGGGGGAGTCAGGCCTGGACTGCTCTCCTGTCCCCCCACCAGCATGCTGTCCTACCGGTCGGTCGACATCCGGAAGAGTCTGCAGCTGGAAGAGCTGCTGGCCAGGGAACAGCTGGAGTACACTATCGAGGAGGAGGTGGCCAAGCAGACCATCCGCATGTGGCTGAAAAAGTGCTTAAAGCGCATCCGAGCTGTGAGTGACCTGGAAGTGTCTGGGGTTTTGTTTCCTCCTCTCAAAGGAGGAAGAAGAGGGAGAAAAGAAAAGAGCTTTTGGGATGGGGTGGGGTGCCTGGGGGGCTCAGTCAGTTAAGCGTCTGCCTTCAGCTGAGGTCATGATCTCTTGGTCCTGGGATCGAGTTCCGCGTCGGGCTCCCTGCTCCGGGAAGTCTGCTTGAGACTCTCTCTCTCCCTCTGCCCCTCCCCCCATGCTCTCTTTCTCTCTCTCCATTAAATAAAATCTTTAAAAAAGAAGAGAAAAGAGTTTCGTGAGCAACAGGATGAGATCCTCCTGTGATTAGCCTTGTGGCCCTTCAACTCTGTCAGCTTCATCCCCCTGTGATGGCCACATGATGATTCGCGCCTTAGCTCCAGTCCAGACCCAGCTGTGCCCTCTTAAGCAGAGTTCGTAAGACGTTCCCATTGAATCACATTTTTATAATAGAACATGAATGTTTAAAAAGCAGTTTACTGAGGAGCGCCTGGGTGGCTCAGTCGGTTAAGCGTCTGACTCTTGATTTTGGCTCAGGTCACGATCTCAGGGTCGTGAGATCGAGCCACACATTGGGCTCCATGCTGGCCATGGGGCCTGCTTAAGAGTCTCTTTTCTCTCTCTCTCTCCCTCTTCCCACCTCCTCCCCCACCCCCGCTCGGCGCTCTCTCTCCTTAGGAGAAAAAAAGGCAGTTTATTGCTATTAATATATTTGTGATTTCCATTTATCAAACTCAGCTACTCAAAATGCCCAAAATCTCTACATGTTGTGTGGCAACTGAATTTACAAAACTACTTTTAAATTGTTTCTAACAATCCCACCATACCGTTGATAATATTGTTTGGTCTTTAACAAAGGCCACCTCTCCTGGGAGTTTAATGATCTGTCTGCTGCCTTCAGAATTACAAGCTTATAAGATTCTCTGACTCATAAATCAATGAACACATTCTATGTTGACATACATCGTGTTTACAATAGGCATTTCTACTAGATAATTACTTTTATGAATGTTTTTGACTGACCCTTCACAGAGGAAAAAAATCAAATTAATCACCAAAACACCAGCAGGAAATATGTCTTTCTATTGGGGGAGAAAAGGTCCCCAGAGAAACGAAACAGCCCAACCTCCTACAGCAAAGCCTCAGCCATGGCTGACCCGTCCTAGCCCTGCTCATTCTAGCGATCCAACCTGCCCCCCACAGGCCCCAAGGGGCACGGGAAGCTGGATGAGCACCAGACTGGGCTCCCGAGTGTGTGCCCAAACAGACTGGCGTGCTCCTATCCAAGAACCAAGGCAAGAGCGAGGGTTTCACTCATCCACCCAAGGCTCTCTGCTTCTAACGACCCAGAGGAAAAGGGTGGTCACTATTGGCTTAATGAGCACAGAGCAAAATAAGAAGGGAAAAAAGAGAACACCTACATTAGCGATTCAAAAATTCTATTTTAAGTACAACACAAGCTGTATCAATGGACATACTTGTTCCCATTGTTATGCAAATGAGCGTGGGTTGGGGAGTCTCTAAGCCCTCCTTCATAGCAGTGTGATAGGGAAATTAGTTAAGCATCCTTATTTGGAAGTTCCGAAGAGGTCACCAAGCATACAGGTTCTTTGGGGAGGAGAGAAGAAAATATGATTTGAATGGTGGGGGACGGGGGGACGTTGGGCTGATTTTTCTGTTACCGAGAGAATAATCATATTTCCATAGAAACAGCAGCAGTCCTGCAGCATCATCCACAGCCTGAGAGAGAGCCAACAGCAGGAGCTGAGCCGGTTCCTGAATCCCCCCAGTATCGAGACCACCCAGCCCAGTGAGGACATGAACGCTAACAGTCAGGATAATAATATGCAACCTGAGGTACTGTATGAGGCGTCCTTCCTCCAAGGGTATTAGGTGCATTTTTAAAAATAAAAAATAATTTGGTGCCGTTCACATAGCCATTTCAAACAAGGTGACAGTATTTCTAATTGGAAGTTTGTTAAGTTAAAAACAATTGGAACATGTTGATCCAGACTGGATCTTTGCAACTCGGAATCGTTTGGGGTTGTTTCAAAAGATTCTGATTCTGAATTGTATGAATACAAAAAAAAAAAAAAAAAAGTGAATGCCCTGAACTCACTAGTTCTGTCGATTTTTGTCTAAAGAGTTAACACTGCATCTCTCTGGGCTTAATTGGAGTCCAGCGATATTACACGAAGAATGTGGTTTGCCGGAAACTCTGCCCTAAATACATTCTTCTACCAAGTCATAGGAACTTGCAGTAGAATCAGTGGAAATGTTTGTAACTGGCCACCAACCTCCTTAAATAATCAGACTCATTAAGGATTTGTCCTTCCTTAGCTGGGCATCGGAAGAGCATATGGAATTCAGGGGGATTAGCCCGAGGACCTTTTTACTAGGGCGTAGCTTATTTCCATTTCCAGACGCAATGTCCATGTCCATACAAATGCGCAGAGAGGCTCGGACACCCTGGAGAGCCTTGCGCGGTGACCAGCAGTGGGCAGGAAGTCCTGCCCTTCATGAGGGCGCAGTCGTGGACCGGCTGGAGTTGATCCAGCTTCCTGAGATGAGCTCCCTGGTAGGGTCGGGCTTCGTGGTGTGCAGAGACACAGCCCATACAGCTCCGCGGTAAATACTGAAACCTGAGGCTCGGCGGCCCGGTGTCGCCACAGACCAGGAAGGAAGGGGGGCAGCAGGTGCTGGTGGGGGGGGCGGAGCTGTGGGAGTGGGGAAACCCTGGAGGGCTGCCCGGAGGAGGCGCTACCTGGAGAATTGCACCCCGTCTCTTCACGTGCAGCAGTGACTCTGGCTTTTCTGGACTCTCTGAACCCATTTTGTCTTCTCCCTTCCCATTGTGCACTCTGCGGCTGCAGTACTGTTTTCCTATGGCGCTTTTTTCCTTTCTTACCATAAAATGAGAGTCCAGACCAGTGCAGAGGCCAGAAGGGGAGCAGAGCGGTCAGAAAGAGCCCTGACTGCCTCACTCTCGCCCCGTGCAGACCAGCAGCCAGCAGCAGCTCCTGAGCCCTACGCTGTCGGACAGAGGGGGAAGCCGGCAGGACGCCACAGACCCCGGGAAACCCCAAAGGAAGTTCGGGCAGTGGCGGCTGCCCTCAGGTGTGTGCCCCGGGTCCTTTCTCCCTTGACTCAGTGTCTACACTCGGTGGGCTTTGGGTCTCGGATTTCAAGTTCAGGTCTGCCTCTCCAGTTCCTTAGACTCCTCTCACTACTGCTTACACTATCTGTCCTTTTCCTTTGTTTTTATATTCTTTCTTTGTATATAGTAACGAACACCTACTCACCCATATTTCTATGACACTTATATTTGCCCAGCTTGGAACATTTAGTGATTTTTTGGTTAATTTTTTTGTGATTATCTCAAAGCGTGGTGGTGGGTGCGTAGCGTGTTTTCGAATGGTATTACTAGTTGCCCATGAACAGAATTTTCAAGTCCATGCATGTAAAGTTTATGAATATAAAGAACCGAGAGCTAGAAGGGGTTCATACTTACCATTTATGGGGGGCGTATTTAGCAGGACTGTTGTTACTGCTGGGGAGATCTCCGCTTTTCGGGAATGGCTTGCACAGGGGTGAACAGCTCCGCGTTGCTCATAGGACTCTTGTCAATTCCACAGCACCCAAACCAATAAGCCACTCAGTGTCTTCGGTCAACTTACGATTTGCAGGGCGCACAACAATGAAGTCTGTAGTGTGCAAAATGAACCCCATGACCGACACCGCGTCGTGCGGTTCTGAGGTTAAGAAGTGGTGGACCCGGCAGCTGACGGTGGAGAGCGACGAAAGTGGCGATGACCTTCTGGATATTTAGGCGGACGCAGCGCCGAGCAGGGTCTCATGGGGAACACTGTTCTCTGACATTGTCCTCCTACGGTCTAACATCCGCTAGTGAGCAGTCCCGACTTGAGACGTCATTTGATTCCACCTTGTCACGAGATTTTTTTTCTTTAAGTGGATTTTTGTCCTGCCGTAGGGGGGCGTAAACACTTGGTCTGTGGTAGTTGTGCATATAAGGGGTTGTTACCGTGTGTTCAAGAAAATTCGCATAATGGTAGTATTCGTAATATTGCCCAACACTAGGTGTAGATCATTCAAACATTTCGTATGTCCTGTCTATGAAAACTAAGGTGTATCTCCATATATGCTCGTGTGCAGTATTACCACCCCCTGAAAGAGTGCTAAGCCCAAAGCGGCTGATATTCATGCTACAGAAGCTACAGCTTTAGTTCCTGTTTTTCCCACTTCCACTAGAAATACTGCCCTTGGGAAAATTTATTATTTATGATTGATCTGAAAAGGTCAGCACTGAGCTCATATGAAAATGATAGTAGTTTTACAAACTACAGATTCTGAATTTTTAAACGTGTATTCTTTTCTCATGTTATTCTTAAAAATATGCACAAGATATCTAGAGGTCAGACCAAGTCAATTTCTGGCCTCAGTCACTCTGATGAAACCGTTGCCTGCTTCCTCGAGAATTGTGTGTACAGGGACCAGGCAAAGAAATTGGCCCAAGGAGCCAACTGGTTTAAAACAAACATGTACATAGATCGCTGGAAGGACTTGCTTACATAAAGATGTTGAGTTTCTTTCTAAGGCTTTTAATAGCTAAGTTTAGCAAAAAGGGTAAAACTACATGATTCAGCTTATTAAAGAAATCTTCAGGTGTGTCATGTTATCACTGGTTTCATTTCCTACCCAGGGTGTGTCCAATTTGCCATAAAGTCGGCAAAGATATCATGAGTTGATCCAACACACCAGTTCCATGTTCAATGCAAAATGACTCCCTGCTACCAGACTCTTCTATGAAAATAATGGCAACTTTGTAAAATCCTGCTTGGAACTCACAGTTTAGGGACCCCACAACTCAGCTGTATTTGTTTCACACACCATGTGCTCTGGGAAAATTAAAATGCGACGGGATTACGAAGTACCTGGGCCTCTTATGCTGGGTCAACCAAGTAGAAGTGCATCCGGGCCCTCAACTGCATTATTTTTGATTGGAGATTTGCTGTTTCGATGATTTCTTTTAACGGAGTGATGATCTCCGAGTCCTTTGACACCCCAGGTTGCTTTATGATCTCTTTTTCTCTATTTAACGTTCTTAAAATAGCCAAATCCTTTCTGTATAACAAACGTAACATTGTGGTGCCATCTATTGTTTGTAGGATTAATTGTGACTCTAGGATAATGGGTAATTAAAGTCAGTGCTGCCAAAAGGATTTTATTTGGTTTTATGTTCAGTTGGAGTTTACTTTTTGTACATAAGCAAATCAAATAAATATTGACTTTGTAAAAGAATTTACTCTGAGTTGGTCATTTCTAAACCCTTTCTCGTGTGTGGAAGGAGGGAAGGGGGCTTTGGGGGCGGGATCATTAGGAATCAGGCACTTTGCAAACTCTGTATTTGAATATTCTGCCTATAATTAGTTGGCAAAAGCTCTGTCCCTGATCTTCATTTCAGTTCAGTTCCTAAGCCAGAATGTTCCTTTCACGTGTGTGCCCATAAGGCTGAGTGAGTACCTTCCAAACCCACAATAAAACAGAAAAGGATCTTACATGGCCCGGGCATGAGCCTTGTACTCGTGCTGCCTGAAAACGAAATTTTATTTTTTGGCTCATTACACTTGAGTAAAACAGCTTCATTCTCAAAAAACTGCTGAGTCCTTCCTACAGCGTCTGTTAACTGGTGTTCAGCGGAACATCGTTGTTGTTCATTCTGCAGTGAAGCAAAGGGCCAAAGAGCAATGCATTTGAAGTCACAGCACCCTACATTTTTTTTAAAGATTTTATTTATTTATTTGCGAGAGAGAGAATGAGAGACAGAGAGCACGAGAGGGAGGAGGGTCAGAGGGAGAAGCAGACTCCCCGCTGAGCAGGGAGCCCGATGCGGGGCTCGATCCCGGGACTCCAGGATCATGACCTGAGCCGAAGGCAGTCGCTTAACCGACTGAGCCACCCAGGCGCCCAACACAGCACCCTACATTTAAGCAATTCAGTGAGACAGCCAAACAATTCCTGTGGCACTCATCTCTGCTCTTTCCTGAAGCCAGCAGAACGCACAGCAAGCCGAGAAGGTAGATTTTTCATCAACATATAAAGAGTCCAGTTATGCAGATGGGAAAACTTCGGCCACAACATTCCCTGGTCCTTAGGGAGCCAGACACTGATAGTAATCCTCTCATCATGCCACCCACGGCCTTTAATTAAAGGACGCTGTTGGTTCCAAGCACACCAGAAAGCATAAGGGGCAGAATAGTTGACCCAGAGCCCCCAACGGGACCAGACCACACATGCATCGCACATATGGCAATTCAAGGGGGCTCACAGGGAACAGGGATGGAGAGAACGGCCGGACTGATGCTATTCACTCTATTCTCCGTGGTCGACTGAGAGCAGCACCCATCTTCAGCGACGGTCCAAGCTGAATAAGATAAGGGCATGTAGAAGAAAATCCAGTTATAAAGCCTTAAGCAAAAGCATTTTCAAAGCCAGATGACTGATGTGTTTGCTTGCTTCTTTGTAGGAAGGGGCAGACTATAGATAAGCGGCTTCAATTGGTTGCTTGGCAGTGGTGCTCTTTCTCAAACAGGGTCCTTCAAAAGTTCCCACAATATTAACCAAGCTAAAGCAGGCATCCCCAATGGAAATGGGGATGAAGATGAGAACCCCAGTCACATGGTCTCTTTTCACCTCCTGAGATTGATTGAATTGTGCCCCCCGCCCCTCCAAAAGAGAGACATTGAAATCCTAACACCCGGTACCTGTGAATGTGATCTTTGGGGGGAAGAGTCTGCAGATGTAATGAGTTAAGGTGAGGTCATACTAGAGGAGGTAGACCCGTAATCCAATATGACTGGTGTCCTTTTAAGAAGAGAAAGTCACACAGGGAGGAGAATGCCCCGTGAAGACACAACACAGAGGGAAGACGGTCATGTGAAGACAGAGGCAGAGACTGGAGTGATGCTGACACAAGCCAAGGAATGTCTAGGGCTGCAAGAAACTGCAAGAGGTGACTAAGGATCCTCCCCTAGAGGCGTTGGAGGGAGCATGGCCCTGCCAACACCTTGATTTTGGATTTCTAGCCTCCAGAACTGGAACTGAGATGATAAATTTTGGTCGTCGTAAGCCACCCAGTTTGTAGCATTTTGTTACAGCAGCCTTAGAAAACTAATACACCCCCAAACCCACACCAGCCCCCAAAGATGGCCTGAACCATCCCGGTGCTCCAAAGAACCTAGTTGGAAAAACACTAGTACAGATCAAAGATCCTGAGTTTGTAGTTCGACAGATGTTTCAAGCCCTGGATTTACTGGTTACTCCTTGTTTAATCTCTGATGAGTTTCATACCCTATCAGGGCCAAAATTTAGCTTCTTGCTTTTAAAAAAAGGCAAGAGAGGGGTGCCTGGGTGGTTCAGTCAGTTAAGCATCTGCCTTCGGCTCAGGTCATGATCCCAGGGTCTTGGGATCAAGCCCCACATCAAACTTTCTGCTCAGCGGGGAATCTGCTTCTCTCTCTCTCTCTCTACCTGCCACTCCCTCTGCTTGTGCTCTCTCTCTCTCCAAATAAATAAATAAAAATCTTTTAAAAAATGGTTTAAGAAAAAAAGGCAGGAGACGTGAATTTATTCACTTAAAAATAGAAGCACCCGTATGATTCCAGCATTACCACTTCTGGGTACATATCCAAAAGAAATGAATGCAGAGTCTCAAAGAGATATTTTTACACCCCTGTTTATGGCAGCATTGTTCACAATAGCCAAGAGGGAAAGCACCCAAATATCCATCTTTGGGTGGATGGATTAAAAAAAAATGTACGTGCATATGATGGAATATTACTCAGTCTTAAAAAGGAAGGGAATTCTACTATAGGTAACGATAGGATGAACCTTGAGGACATCATGCTAAATGAAATAAGCCAGTCACAAAAAGACAAATACTGTAAGATTCCCCTTATATGAGGTATCAAGGGTAGTAAAACTCATAGAAACAGCAAGTAGAATGGTGATTGCCAAGGGCTGGGGGACGGAAATTGTGCAATGGGTATAGAATTGCAGTTTTGCAAGATGAAAAATTTCTGGAGATTGTTTACATAGCAGTGTGAATATACTTAACACTATTAAAATTTACACTTAAAAATGGTTAAAATGGTAAATTTTGTTATATGCATTTTATCAGAAATAAAAATTAAACAAAATTTTTAATATATCCTGTCATCTGATCCCAAAAGCTAAATGACCAAATTGAAATAGCAAAACAATTCCAATGCCACACTTAAATTATGCTTCCATGTCTGCTTGCTTTCTGTATTTGAGCAGTATACCTGGTTTAAATTTAATATTTTATATTAAATTTATATCCCCAATGCTGCATGTCATTCATTCAATTAAAAAATCTGCCTGTAGTATGCCTAGTAAGTATCTGAATCCCATTTGAACATTTGGAGGACTGGCCTCGCTGGCCATTGAATTAAGCTATGGATGGTTTGTTAGAGGCAGATTTGAAGTGGTTTCTTGTTCTCCCTTTGTGGGCAGTGATTCAATGTCAATGTCAATTTTAAGGCTTGGTTACAGAACCAACCTACCTACAAGAGGAATTATGTAGCTTCATTGTGTTCCTTTCACAAATGGGTATCTACCACTCCATTTCCTCTACGATGTGGATAGTGACCCCAAATCACACTAAGTGGAACCACCTGTTTGGATGCATCATTCCTTCTAGTGTTCCCAGTGCCTGATTGCCACTGAGATGTTTAACATTTAAATGAAAGCAAATCCAACTGTAGGGACAGACGTGGGCGAAGGTCCATGGGTTCTCTGCAAATAAATACATATAAAAAATGGTACTTTTACATTCCAAGTCATGTCAAAACCATCTAAAATAATAAATCAGCCACTTGACCAAGGGCTGCCAGGAATAGCAGAGTAACAATATCCAGAAAAGTCTTCTTTAGTGAAGATCACAATGAAGAGAGTTGTACCCATAAATTATAGCCAAGAAAGTTAGCTTTTTGATTTGAATTATCTGCATATTCTTAGGCAGTCTTTTTTTTATTATTATGTTCAGTTAGTCACCATATAGTACATCAATAGTTTTTTTTTTTTCATCAATAGTTTTTGATGTAGTGTTCCATGATTCATTATTTGCATACAATACCCAGTGCTCATCACAATGGGTGCCCTCCACCTGGCTACCCCATCCCTCCACCCCCGCCGAAACCCTCAGTTTGTTTCCCGGAGACCATAGTCTCTCATGGTTTGTCTCTCTCACTGATTTCTCCCCCCTTCAGTTTTCCCTCCCTTCCCCTCTGGTCTTCCATGCTATTCCTTATGTTCCACATATGAGTGAAACCATATGATAATTGTCTTTCTCTCCTTGACTTATTTGACTTAGCATAATCCCCTCCAGTTCCATCCATGTCGATGCGAATGGTGGGTGTTCATCCTTTCTGATGGCTGAGTAATATTCCATTGTATCTATGTACCACATTTTCTTTATCCATTCATCTGTTGAAGGACATTTCGGGTCCTTCCACAGTTTGGCTACTGTGGACATTGCTGCTATGAACATTGGGGTGCATGTGCCCCTTCTTTTCACTTCATCTGTTATCTTTGGGGTAGATACCTGATGTGGAGAAAGGGGAACCCTCTTACACTGTTGGTGGGAATGCAAGCTGGAACAGCCACTCTAGGCAGTCTTTATTTAATTTTGGAGACATAAGAGTATAATGTAGGTAACAATCTTGGAGCAGAAGAGTAGGTTGGAAAGATTAAAATAAGGACAGAGCTAGGGGAACAGGGAGATGGGGAGGGATGTAGTCTCTACTCTATCCCTCCATTCTTGGAAATAGAACATATTATGTCATGTTTGCAGGCAACTAGACTAGAATGTTAGCCAGTGGGTCTGGCCAGGGAGAGCATTTCATCCGGAATAGACAGAATGAGTATATTAGAGTTCTCCAGAGAAATAGAGACAATAGAATAGACACGTATATATCGAGAGAGAGAGAGAGAGATTTATTTTAAGAGACTGGCTCATGTAATTTTGTGGGATAATGACAAGTCCAAAATCTAGATGGCAGGCTAGCAGACTAGAAATTCAGGCAAGAGTTGATGTTGTAATGTTGATTCCAAAATCTACAAGCTAGAAACTCCGGCAAGATTTCTATGTCTTGGGGCAGAATTCCTTCTTCTGGAAACATCAGTCTTTGCTCTTAAGGCCTTCAACTGATTGGATGAGGTTCACTCACATTATGAAGGGTAACTGGCTTTACTCAAAGCCTAGAGATTTAGGTGTTAAT